TCACCCCGTTACACTTCTCCAGTATCGAAGAAATGAAATCAATGGCAGCGAAAAGGCTTTAAATTCACCATGCGAACGACGAAGCGGCACAGGCATCTGTAACTTTGGCTAGAATCAGTGGCTTGTCTCATTATCATTAATTCCAGCTTTGTCCCGTACTAGCGAAATTAGTAGCGCACCGCAGACAGAACAAGGTGCAAAGTTTTCCCATGTCCAACTGCAACCGGAGCCACCAACCAAGCAACCTTGGATGACGCAAAAGGGGGGACGTCCACGACGGGCTTCCATCTTTTGGGATAATTCCCGTCCAATAGCTAAGGCGGCTGCTTGCCAGGAGTTGAATGATGACAAAGAGGAAAAGGAAGATCGAAACGCTACTGTTACAACACAACGGGTACGTCTAAGGCATCTTCCGCGATTGGTCTGTCACAGAAGCCCCAGCAAAGCCACAGGTATTTAACCAGGGCGCCTCTATCTGAGGAAAAAACGCTTCGAAAACCCACCGGTACAGCCCGAGGACAGCCCCGACTGTGACAGTACCGGTGCTTTTAACGCTTAAGCAATAAGAGCGCAAGACATTCTGTCAAATCATTGCTCAACGCAAGACCCAGTGGCGTCAGATCTTCCTTTATGGTTCAGTACCACAACTTGTTGACTACCTTTCCCAAGCTGAAAAAAACGACTTGGTATCCGGATGGTAGTCACTCCAGCGACTGGAAATTGTCTGGCAATGGCGATTGCCCAAGCGGCGGATAACAGCAATCTGGGTGGTCCTGATATGACGCTTGATAGTCTTACGGCCAGCTTAAAACGTGCAATAATTTACTCGGGGCTGCTCCACCCTATAGACCAACTCGCCCATACTCGACGTGTGCTCGCACTAGCCAATGTCAAACGCGGATGGACCACGATGAAACGACAGTATTCAGCGTCTTAGGTGCGCTAATTCCTGGATGATCATTTTCCATCTCATCTGGACGGACGGGCGACGTCATTGAAGACACCTGGGGAGGCAGTGACGTCGTTTGAATGGTGCAAATTACTTACACCGAACCATCTACGTAGTGCATAATATAGATGGAGTCGTAACGGAGTGAAGATGCTGAAAGTTTATCTCAATTACAATATCTGCAACCACCTCGTGGTTGACAGTGCCACGGAGCACCCAATGTTAATTCGAGAGCTACTCGATGCTATTTTAGCGGAGAAGATCGAATACCGAATATCCCGCCGCTTATTCTAATATACATAAATCGTCATTACTTGGATTTCACTCACGCTGGTCTATTCAGGCTGGTACCAGTCTGTAAGCCGGAGGTGAACGCAAATGCCTCTCAAACCTCGGAATCACGCGGGTTTTACGATCACGATGCTGCAAAGAACAAGAAGGTGCACTACTTTTTCTATTACAAACGGAACGGAACATCGCGCCATCAGCTGATGAAAACCACGACATGGGCAGTGACCCTTTATCAACATTAGGTGAGGCAGAGGCGAGCACTGCTTTAGTTACAATACCTTAGCCAAGCAGAGTCAGGCTCTCAGAGAGTCAGGCTCTCGCCATCCAGGACACTACGGAACATCTTCCGTCTCTGCCTACAATCCCTCCCCCGACAGCGCGACACTCTTCTGAAGTCGCTCGGATACGTGGCCATGTCTCTTCGCCCGAAACCCATATTAAAGACGGCACTATAGTGCGGCCCAAGCCCAACGAGGCAGTCATTAAAAAGGGACGCAGCATGCCTGTCACAAGACGAATGAATACGATGATAAGAATTATGAACGGATTGACGTCGAGGATTGGGAGGCCGCGTGGAACCTACAAGGAGCCGACTGGCACCATCCTGATCAAATTCCTTTCCTAACCGCTGTCAGCTCTACAAGTGAGTGGCAGCGATCGGCTAGATAAGTGCCAGAGCCTTATTGCAGCTGTTAAGCGGTTCGCGCTTCCTGGGGAGTTGTTGACATTCTTAAATGTGTCGGTCATGGTGCAGTGGATGACCGAGAAACGTCGAGAATGTTTATCTGATGGATTGAATGCGTATCGAATAGAACTTTTGGACCTTCCTACTAAAAAGGGTTAGACGGATGGACTGAACGAACACAGTTCAGGGGTTCAACATTGATGCTGGCACCGCTGACGGACAACCGGGATGACTGGCAGTGTCCAAGCAGCAAGGAATACGGAGGGGACGGGGTGTTCGCCTTTGCGAGCCACAACGGCTTACCTGTATTAGTCAGCACTTGCTGTGTGCACTCTTATACGACTGTGAAGTTACAGCGTTTGCTGATGGCTCGCCGACGAGTACAGAGGCACCAGCAAAGCTGCGCTAGCATGTGTAGCTTCTCTTGTATAATACAGAGTACAAGGCGGCATATTACGAATCTTTCAGACAAATTAATTGGCGTGAAATTGACAGCTTTTTCTACTTAGGATTAGCTTAATTGGAGGAGAAGAGATTTACATAGTATTAACGCGCCTCACAGTTTTCAGTAGCGACGATTATGTACGGGTCAGCGTTATCAACTTTTGATTGTTATGGACGCTACGCATTATTTAATTGCCCTAATTTGTTATAAAAATTCAAAGAGTCTATCTGCTGTCGATCGACAAATTATCAGCTAAAATGTTCAAGGCTTTTCCAAATTTACAAGACCTCTCTGAATGTCAGTGTGGCGCAAGACTCTAGTAAAGTAACGTCCTTTCGCAAAATGCATCCAAGAACCTCACGTCGCGACCGTCGATAAAGCAAATACGCTGCGGCTAGCATGGAGCCGGGTATGGAGTCAAGGTTGTGACACGTTCCAGGTGCCGATGTCTTACTGGAGATACGGGTTCTATAGGTCGTGTGGTATTGCTATTCTACTAAGTTCACAGGATGCTTTACACGTGGCAGCCTGGAATAAGGACGGGTGGAATACGAGAGCTATCGGGATATCGGATCATGATGGCATATGCATTCTTAACGTGCATGGCTCCAATGACCGGGCAGAGCGGGAGTCACCATTTGACGGCCTGGATGACTGGAACTTACCTTCTAAAGCTTCTGGTCTTCTCGGTGATTTTAATAGTGTGCAGAGTCCCCAGCTGGACCGACTAGGGACAAGATTAGCCGGTCAGCCTGAAAGCGCAGCTTTGGGCAGACTATTTACCAGATACGGGCTGAGTGATGCTCTTCTTCTGGAGGAGCATGCGGACGATGATTAGACGGCGATGACAATTTACCACGTCACGTATCGGACCACGGCAAACGCCATCTGGATTGATCGGTTTTGCGTACCAACTGAATGGGTACCGGATGTTCTATGGCTATACTACTTCTCCTACTCACTATTCTGATTATCAACACGTAGAACTACATTACGTGTCAAGCAACTCGATCCGGAACATACTCGGCGACACCATGCAGCATATCCTGTCCTGACCAGATATCCGGACCGCATGCTAGATTATCTGATGGAGGAACTCGGGAAGATGCGTGCGGGACACGGCCCAACCGCTTTGACTTGGGATGCACACATATTTAGATGCACCAAAAGTATACGATCAGTTATAAAACGGGAAACGCAGCGACGAGGACGGGATATTGGAAGGATGCGACGCTAAAGCCTTCAGCAGTTTCTTACCAGGTGGCAGTGGATTTCTGCAAACATAGAAGAAATGCAAGAGGACCATTTAACTCACCTCGGTGAGTGTCTTGAACTGTCGACAGAGCGTCTCCGCTGATCATTCAAGCGACTGGCCCATTGGGAGAGTAATCAACATGTGTTAGCGTTGCTGTCTTACCATGATGGCACCTTTACCGTAAATATGACAATGGCAGAAATTTGCATCTGAATGGGTGTCCAGTTTTAAGCTTCAGCCACCGGTCTGAAGCCCAGGACACTTTGCCGACCGCTATGCACAAATAAGGGGCCATAACGGAGGATAAGAGGCTCTCTCGCATGGACAACGAAAGTCTCCTGAGTCCAGGTACGAAAGGCGAGGCGCTTCAAGATGTGCCCGCACATGCCAGGCACAAAGCAGCCCGGCAGGACGGATCAAATAATTCTTTCTGCAAGGACACGTCTGCCCTCATGGTTCCCGCGCTCGTTATTATAAGCTACCGAATTCTGGACGGGGCGGGCCTGCCACCATCGATATAAAGCGCTACTTATTCCGATTCCAAAGAAAGGTGACTCAGACGATGTAACGGGGTGAATCGTTACATAACAATTTATAAGAAATTGCTAATAGAATATAACTATAAGAGTTATATTCTCAGAATATTGTCATAAGGACAAATATTCTGTAGCACTTACGAGTAGTTCCTAATTGGTTGATATAGGCCATTATATCAACCAACGAAGACGCGCCACGACAGACGCACGCAATGAGTGGTGAGCAGATAGTTGATATGCACATTTGTATTCAGACATAGTTAGATGAAGATAAATAGTGATTTATTGCAGACATTAACTATTACTAAATACAGTTCTACTTTTTACTTTAACTAAGTACTCGCTTCTTCTTACCGTCTTCCTCTGCACGTACGAGTGTACGTGAAGTTCCGAGGCACCGCCTCATTCTGTCATCAGAATAAGTAGCTTGTACTGTCACCAGTACAAGCTTCAGGGTGCCCCGTTACACCTGGTAGCACTTCGTAGTCCGTCCAAGGACCACGTTCACATCTAACATGAATATGTTGGATGATGAAGATGACCAAAGCTTTCACGCTACGCGTGACGGCTACTCCCATTTGAGCGATGTCGAATGGGATGCGGTTGAACGGATGGGTTCAACCATGGGCATCCATGCTGTTAGCGTCATGCTAGAGGCTCTCAATAGAGATGCCCAACATGCTACTATCGCCAAGTTCATTCAAAATGAACTTGACGCTGAACGCGAGAAAGTAGCCTTGATTCACCAACAAGGTTCTCAACAAGCAGAGTTGTTGAGAGAACAGGGTGCTCAACAGTTTGAACTGGTGAGACAGTAGCGGGCTGCTGCTGGCAGGTCGATGCAGTCGGATCGACCCGAGACTTTGAAGATTGACATCTCCAAGTATAGGGGAGTTGAAGAGGACTCCCTCTTGAGATGTTTTGACGAATTGAACGACGCCATAAGGGCGCGTCGCATCGACGACGGGGATATGCAAGTTGCATATGCCCAGTCAAATCTGGCAGGACGTGCCAAGACTTGGGCACTGGGGCTCAAGTTGCACGACCCATATGCGTTTGGGTCGTTGGAAGTCTTCAAGTCGCGGCTCAGACAAACGTTTGAGCCACCTAGAGCTGAGTTCAGAGCTCAAACTGAACTCTTGAAGCTCAAGCAAGGTAAGCGTGATGTGCACGCTTACGCGCAACATATACGACATCTCACGAGTTGTATAAGTTCCAATCTGGTGGATGAACACACGTTGGTTTCGGTGTTCATGCAGGGTCTTGCGGATGGTCCCGTCAAGACTCACCTGTTCCGGCTTGAACTAGATTCACTAGAACAAGCCATTTCCATTGCGGAACAGGAAGACTTCAGTCTGAGACAGGCTCGCGCCAGCTCGATATCATATCGTACACCGATACGATATGACAGCGGAGGTCCAGAGCCGATGGAACTCTGTTATGTAGAGAGCGAGAAGGCTCGCTCTACAGACTACAAGAAGTTGCAGAGATGCAACAGATGTCAAAAGACAGGACACTACGCTTACGAGTGTAGTGCCCCTCGTCCAGTGTCTCGCAACACTGGGCGTAGTGACCGTCCACCCATGAGAAAGGGGCAGAGACGCGGGTCCGCTGCTGGTGCAAAGACGCAACAACGGGATGGACCGTCAAAAAACGGACAGGATCAGTAGGTGCGGAGCACCCTACTGCTCCAGCAACGTCAAGAGAATTTGTGGGCCTCTTGATGAAGGTTGCTCCCAACACACAAACGTTGTGTGTTGCTGCTCTAGGTAATGAGATCTCACTCATTACCTTGAAACTCGAAGTGACGAATAAGTTGTCCCTTCGAGCTCTAGTCGATTGTGGGGCGTCCAACAATTTTGTGCGACGCCAATCGCTAGAAGATGGTCACTTTAAATTCAGTGAATGTGACACACCTCCTACGAGGATGACGGTATGTCTTGCGACAGGCGCATCCGTAACCGTCATGAAGCGTATAGTGAAGATCCACTATACGCTAGAAGATACCCAATATGACGATGACTTTATCGTATTGGATTTAAATGACAAATTCGATGTCATCCTTGGAATACCGTGGCTCAGAAGGTACGAACCACGAGTAAACTGGCAACATCGAACAGTAACGATGCCTATCGCTTGTTCATCAGATGGCCATCTGATGAACGTTTTGGAGCGTCCACAAGCGTGTGGATGTACTACGAGTGAGTGCGATGGCCTCACTTGTGGTACGGTCGTTAGTACGACTGCACAAAACCTTAGTGTAACAAACGGTTACACTTCGGAGCAAAGTTCCGGCGGCTGTGAGGAAACACAGGCTGCGCCGAAGGTCCAATACTCGAATAAGTCGGGTGGACTGGGACAAAGATGTATCCCTAGCGGGGAACATCTAGAAGAGAAACAATCGGTCGCTCAGGTTAAGCGAAACGATAATCCTAGATCGACTGGAGAGTCTTTCGTAGAGGATCTCGCTGTGGTTGCGCAACCCCAGCTAGAGGAAGTAAAGGGAATAAGTCCCAAGATTACAAATACGGCGGAAATAAGTTCCCCGAAACCCGCGGGAATAAGTCCCCGGGAAGACAAAGGAATAAGTCCTTCGAAGCCTGAGGGAATAAGTCCCCAGGAAATGACAGAGACATTGAATGTCATAGTCAATAACGGATCAAGTGTAGGCGCTTATACACTTGATCTGATTGCGCCTCCGAAGTTAACTTCGGAGATCACTCAGTTGCCAACGCTCGAACATAAAAGGTTCTTGCGTGATCTGCGTAGTGGCAAAGTCAAGCAGATCTGCATACTCGTCGCTGACGACGAGTGTGTAACCGACATAAGGTCAGCAACAGTGTTCACTGAGAACGAGAGAGTTCTCAGTAGTTCATCTATGGACGAGAGTGTCCTAGATGAAAAGACACGAATTGAGCGATATGACTCCCAATCATGGGAATCGCTCAAGAAAAATCCTCTCTATGAAGATTTGGTTGAATTCAAGGATGTATTCCCTGAAACTGTTCCGTGCGAATTACCTAAGGATAAAGGTATTCGACACGAGGTCGAGCTTAAACCAGGCTCGAAGTACTGTGTCATGAAGCAGTGGCCACTGCCTCGTGAACAAGTACTTGCGATCGACAAGTTCTTTGCCGATCGTTTAGCTGCGGGCCATGTGAGGGAATCAACTTCCCCACATAGCTCTCCGACCTTCTGTGTGCGAAAAGCAACAGGAGGGTGGCGGATAGTGCACGCGTTCAACAAATTGAACGCTGCAACGGTACCGGCTCAGACGCCGATACCGAGGAAGGACGTAATCATTGATGGTATGTCAAAGAGTACCATCTTTTCGTCCATGGATTTGATGGATGGCTTCTATCAAATCCTTATGCGGGAACGGGATATACCCTATACCGCAGTTAGCACGCCTAGCGGCATGCTCTGGGAATGGCTAGTAATGCCACAAGGGCTTAGTAATGCCCCTGCCACGTTCAACAGATGTGTATCACATCTGTTGAGACCAGTACGAGAATTCGCGCCGAGTTATTTCGATGACGTATTCATCCACAGTCGAGCTATGGATGGAAAGTCGGACGTTGAGGTTCACAGATACCACGTCCGACAGGTTCTTACAATCATGCGAAAGCATCAATTGTATGCCAATCTCAAGAAGTGTATATTTGCAGCAAGCGAAATACCTCTTCTTGGGTGCATCGTTGGTAAGAACGGTGTACGTCCTGATCCCGAAAAGATCAAGGCGATCACCGACTGGCCTGTGCCGGTCGATGTCAAAGGTCTTCGAAAATTCCTTGGGCTAGCGGCGTATTTGCATAAGTATTCACGCAATTACGCCGAGATGACTGTGCACCTCTCTCGTTTGTTGAAAAAGAACGAGAGGTGGTTATGGAACGCTGAATGTCAGCGCTCCTTTGATGGTATCAAGCAGAGCTTGATACAATCCCCAGTCCTAGCAATAGCCGATCAGGACAGGCCATTTCATGTGGTTTGTGATGCCAGCGATTTCGCAATCGGCTGTGCATTAATGCAGTACGATGTTGAAGGCGTTGAACGCGTCGTCTGCTATCAGTCGCGTCAGCTGCAATCAGCTGAGCGGAACTATCCAGTGCATGACAAGGAACTCCTTGCCATGAAGTATGCACTCGCGAAGTTCAGAGTCTATCTATGAGGAGATAGACCCTTCATTGTTTACACGGACCATACGTCATTACGCACGGCAGTGAACAGCCCGCACCTTTCACAACGAATGGCGCGGTGGTTGTCATTCTTTGCAGAGTGCAACTTTACGGTCGAGTACAAACCAGGACGACTTAATGTCGTCGCTGATGCACTCTCACGTCGTCCCGACTTTGAAACAGTCGCGAAACCCAACAGTGAGACAGTCACTGTTGCGGTTATGACGTACTCAGTCCCATCTACAACGTTGTATGATGATGTGAGGCGGGCATACGCCCAAGATGGTGAGATAGTGAAGTTGTTGACACATCTCTCCCAACCATCTCGAGAATCGTTGAAACGATTGTCGCCTGCGTATCGATCTGCATCAGATCGATACACTACTCGTAACGGTTTACTGTACTATACAGCCGTTTCTGGTGACACACCACGTGTTGTCATTCCAGATTATACTGATCTGCGTTTGCGGATCATGTTCGAGTATCACGATGCTCCTGTAGAAGGACATCGTGGCCGAGAGATAACATATCTCACGGTGAGTCGAGGCTTTAACGGGCCCCGCCAGTATCAGTTTGTGCGCAAGTACATTCGCGCATGCGAAGTCTGTCAGCGAGTGAAGTCAAGTCCTTCACTGCGTGCACGTTTACAGCCTCTACCGGTTCCGGCTGAGTGCTGGGAATCCATCTCAATGGATTTCGTCTTCGGGTTACCCAAAGACGCACGCGGGAATACGGGTATTCTCGTATTTGTTGACAGATTCAGCAAAATGGTACACCTTGTGGCTGTACCAGAGACAATCACGGCAAGTGGCTGTGCTTGTGTCTTTATTGACACCATCTTCCGACTTCATGGGTTGCCCCGTGAACTCGTATCAGACAGAGATCCACGATTCACTGCTGATTTCTGGCGTTCCGTGTTCAAATCACTCGGAACGCGCTTGAAGATGTCGACATCTGATCATCCAGAGTCAGATGGTCAGACGGAACGTGCCAATCGCGTCCTCGAAGAGATACTACGAGGATACGCACACTCCTTTAAGAGTTGGAGTGAGTTTTTGCCAATGGTAGAGTTTGCCATTAACAACTCGGTGCATGCGTCCACGACCCATACACCGTTTTACGTGAATGGCTTGCGTCATCCGCGTGTACCCACATTACTAGAGTGTAACTCTGGTTTAAGGGGGGGAGGGACTCGCGCGAGCAAAAACCGATTTGGTTCACGCTCATCACGCTCTGACGAAGAGGTCATTGCGTTTGATGCCGATATCGATAACATCGATATCGAAGATGATGATGCCAGTGAGAGTGCGGAAGCCCTCACTGAAGAAAAAATTGATGTTGCTGCAGTGCACTCACAGCGCACTGAAGCTAACGAGTCATCAGATGAGTTCATACTGGCTCGTGAAACAATAGTCCGTTTTGTGCAAGACTCCATCGCCGAAGCGGTGGATAAGCAAAAGCAAAACGCTGACAAGAATGGAAGGGCAAACACTCTTTTATTTAATAAAGGTGACTTAGTCCTACTGTCTACGGTTAACCTACTAAAGCATGTAGTGACTAACTTGGGTAGCAGTAAACTACTACCCAAGTACATTGGCCCATTTCGTGTTTTGCATCGCCTAGGCAATGCATACACGATCGAGTTACCACGTAAGATGCGAACGCATCCCACGTTTTACGTTGGTCGGCTTAAGCCGTACCATCAGTACGCTGCTTCTTCCGATGAAGAACGCCCTTGCGCTCAAGCATCTCGCAGAGAGCCTTGTGCTCCCGATGGTGGGCATCAACAAGGGTCTGAAGAGCAGCTATCTCATCCCGAGACCGATCAGCAATCCCACGAGCTACCCTTAGCTCGTCACGAAGAGATGTAAGAGATCTCTCGTTCTCGAGCTGAGCAAAGGCAAACTCAGCTCGATGCTTCAAGGCAGTGTCCGCCATTTGGAGACGCCTATTCCGCTCATGTTCGAGATCGTCGCGAAACCCTTGCGTTACGCGATCAAAGAAGCTCACGGGAACACACAGATCCCCACGATCATGTGGAGAGCGTCTTTCCTCCTCCTCCACCTCCATTAGAGGACTCTCGCAGTGGCCAGCTCCATCTAGTTGAGCAGCTGTTGAACCACCGCGACGTGAACGGACGTCGGACGAGTTATCTCGTCTGGTGGCGCGGCTATCCCCCGTCCTGATATACTTGGGAGCTCCGCTCCCAACTGATGGTTGACGTACTGGGTCTGGTTGAGCAGTACGACGCGGCACATCCTGTGCCGCAGAAGGACCGCCGGAGAAAGTCTTCCCGGCACGGTCGTAAAGGGATTTCAAGTTGTCAATCCCTTCGTACATCTCAGTAGAGATACGTACGCGCCACCACGGGCTGGTAAGGAGGTAAGCCTCCTTAGGTGCTCGTGCAGAGTTGTTCACACAACATGGGCACGAGTCTCCCCAAGAGAGGCAGGGTAATCCTTTCTACCTTGACAGACGATGCAGCTTGTAGCGTGCACCTGTAGGGGTTCACTTTTCAAACTTATCACGAGCTTTGATAAGTTTGTCGTTCCAAGCGTCACGACCTACATCCTCAAGGTTATGGATGTAGGCGTTCCACGCTTGAAGCAGTGAGGGACCATCACGTTTGTGATTCCCACTGTACCATCGATGTCTAAAGAAAGAATCGATGAAGAATTCATGTTCAGCGCGATAGTTTTTCGCGCTGGGGTCAAGGTGATGGATCCTTGACGAATCGAACAATCGTGTTCGATAACGATCACTCGTCGTCGCCGACAAGTGATCCATGACGGATTTAGGAGGCATCCATGCCTTCTTTTCTGGAGCGAGACGCAAGACATTGCGGTCCCGCTCTTCCTGCGATGTGCCGACAGAAGTACTGGCACCTCGTTGCGAAGTGGGGGTCCATAGGAGAACCGACACCACTGTTAGCGCCCGAGTCTTGCGACCTCGAGCGCCTTCGCTTCGGCGATGGTTCATCTGATTCATCAGATGAACCAAAGATGCTGCGACGCAAAGCATCGTCCATGCATGACGCTTGGCAGGCGGCTTGGATTCAATCGCCGTCGATACGGATCCGTCATCCGTATCAGGAGAGCATGAGACACCGAGCTCATACTCTGTGAAGACATGAGTGTCTTCATGACGAGCGCCTGCATCACCAGGTGGCACAGGCTGAGTCGCTTCAGCAACCGATGAGACATCAGTTGCTGCGGTTTCTGCTTCGGCGTCCGCACAGAGACGTGCGGACGCGCTCTCGGCGGCCTTGCTCGCGCATCGCATGGGCTTGTTAACCATGCGATGAGATGTTGGAAAGTGGACGCGGACCAACAAGTGCAAACCCTGTCCCAAATGATTTGGGACGAGTATCCATTTAGTCAATCAGTCACTAAAGTGACTGATGGTTAAGGGGGGTGATGTAACGGGGTGAATCGTTACATAACAATTTATAAGAAATTGTTAATAGAATATAACTATAAGAGTCATTTTCTCAGAATATTGTCATAAGGACAAATATTCTGCAGCACTTACGAGTAGTTCCTAATTGGTTGATATAGGCCATTATATCAACCAACGAAGACGCGCCACGACAGACGCACGCAATGAGTGGTGAGCAGATAGTTGATTTACATATTTGTATTTAGACATAGTTAGATGAAGATAAATAGCGATTTATTGCAGACATTAACTATTATAAATACAGTTCTACTTTTTACTCTAACTAAGTACTCGCTTCTTCTTACCGTCTTCCTTTGCACGTACGAGTGTACGTGAAGTTCCGAGGCACCGCCTCATTCTGTCATCAGAATAAGTAGCTTGTACTGTCACCAGTACAATCTTCAGGGTGCCCCGTTACAGTTGAAGAATGTTGGCCAACATTTGTGTGGTTCGTTGTTTACCTCTCTCTGAAATAATGCATAATACTTGAGAGGCAAATGGAATCAATCATGTCTGTGATACCTGCTGTTGCCTGCCTATCCCCCCTTGACCCACTCTAAACGCGCACAAGAGCATATAAAGAATTTAAGTTGGATAAAAAATTCCAACCGGCCTTCGATACCGGCTAAATGCTCTGTCTCACCCATAGAATAGCGTCTTCTGTGTGTACCTGTGTGTGTCTGTGAATAACGCAGTTATGTGTAGCGTGCACGTATAAGAGCAATCTAGCCTATCCCCACCGCATAGGAAGATAAAAATGTGTAAAATGCAAATACCAGCACTAGATCCCGGCAAAAGTCGCTATACCTGTAACGGGGAACTCTTAACCTGGGTGCCACGAAACTTCACGAACACTCGTACGTGAAGCGGAAGCTAATCTACTCAAACTAGCTGTTTGAGTTAAAGGTAAAAAGAGAACTGTATATAAAATAGTTAGGCTATCAATATAACTTCAGTCTTTATCTGACTATGTTGATCTACATTGTCGTACGACGACAACCTGCTCGCCACCCATTGCGCGCGTCTAGCAGCGACTGGCGGTAATTGTGGTTAATTTGTCTTTTTTAGACGAATCTTGAGCAGCATGTGAATATTATTCTACAAAGGAATAATATTTCTATCATATTACTAACCTCAGGTAATAGTGGCAGAAGGTTGTCACGCTAGACAATATTCCTATTGACACCGTTTGGTGTCAATTTCATGTTACAGGCAACTCCGTTACAGTGGATGTCATATTGTAAAAATTAGCGGAGCGTATGCGGTTACCGAGTAACAGGTTATCATAGATAAGACTGTACATGTCATCATGATTGCAAAAGCGTAGCACACCTTTTCTCCATTGCACACCCATCGCCATCGACAGGGTCTGTGTATATAAAAACATCACTGCGACCCTATTATGCAGATTGACGACCGCGTTGCATTACCGTTCTTGCCGCCGAATGACTGGCTCCTCACAATTATCCCATTTCTGCAACTGCAGCGCAGACAATCTCCTTTAAAATGCTGAGTCGTCCGTTGAATATCCTCATTTTTCGAAGCTTCTTCATCTTGCGTCCTTCCTAGCTTTCATATTTGGCCAGGAGGTATATCTACTCCTTTATGTTCTTCGTGGGTATTATACTAACTGCTATTGTTGCTCCCGCTTCAGGACTTGTGTTATCAGGGGCCGCGGTGCCTGCTTATCATGAGCACGAGGACGAGAAAAATGGAAAACATTTGAGAGGACACACTTCCGGAAGGAGAGACCAAGAAAGCCGAAGGATGAAAGGACGCGAGCTCGTCCTTAACAGTGAAATCATGTCGATAGTCGTTCCCGACATAAAAGAAAGTAAAGTAAAAGTAGCTGATACTTTTGCCGTGTTCATGCTCGAGACGAGCCTGACAGAAGCCAATCGTGCCAAGTCGTTTGACGATGTCCGACAGAGAACAGTGGTGTAGAGGCCTAAAAAAGGGTCTTTGGAAGGCCACGGCCGATTTTTGTGCTCGTATTAAGGGATATGACATGTTTAATATGGCGATCTCGCTGAACCTGGCAAAGCGGTCACCGGTACGCAAAATGAAGCAGTTCGCCATGTGATCAAACGTACGTTAAGTCCTGACAGTCCCAATGTGGAAGTTGAAAACTTGTCCGACTCTGAAGCCGCCGTTGTGGATGCCCTCGGATATGAAGTGGCAGACAGCTACGAGAAGATCAACAACCACTTTATGCTTTAAAAGCTTACATCCTTTTCCTCTCCACACGGTGTGCAATTGACCTTCATCTACATTTTGATCGGGTAGTGTGCAACTTCAATGGGCCTCTCATTTACGTGCATGATATCTGACCGTACGTTCAAAGCGGGGAGACGAAAGCGGGGGTCAAAAAAAAGCATGAGTCAATCTCACTGCGCGTTTTTACAGTGGTAAAAAAAGCAGACAAATCAACCAGCACAGATCGTAGGAGGGCTATGCTGCTCTGTAGGGGGAAGGGTATGGGCAAATAAATTTCCACTGACAACAAAATTGCGGATGCGAGCCTCCTTTGATTATTAATCCGATAAATGAGGTCATCGACACGCCCGATCACGTGGATACCATACAGACAGGTATCGCTATAGTTGCTCAATCTCCATCACCCCGGCATTCAAATAAAAACGAAAGTGATGTCCGATATCGTTAGCACTAGCGCTCTACCGGAAGAGGCCATGCTATACACGAAGAAGTCAAGAGCATTCCCATACAATATCTTGCCATCTCACTTTGACCGCCGGTCTACTCAGGTTACGGCTGTCGTACGTCTCGGATGTGTATATAGCCTACTACATGCCGCAGTATACGTCAACGAGATCTTGTCTTACACACAAGGTCTGGGTTGTAGGATAAAGGCCATTGTTCAGATCTCGTCGTGACATCATGGTGTCACATGGGAACGGCTTTAAGCCCATGAGTGACCTCGTTGGTGCACCCGATTAGTGTGAGTTTAGGAAATGATGTTGTAATCTATTTGCATCACGTGCTCACGTATATTGATGAGTATGACGCACTAGCGCAGACGGAGCAGGCGTAGCAACGAAAACCCCCGACATGTTCTTCTTTCCTCCACCACCTATATATGGAGTGGTCAAAGCTGAGACGAACAAGCGTGCGTATGATAAATCAGACCAAATGAAGCCAAGTAGTTTCTCCGTGCTATGCTTTGCCAGCTTCTGGTATTACTGAGGACAAGATGAAATGTACGACGTAAAGCAGAAATCGGCGATGCAAGCGAAACAACAGAAGATCCGCTCGTCGGGAGCTACACGTGCTGTTAGATGTGAATTTTATTCAGGACGACAAAGACTCAGCGCTCGTCTCTTGATTATATCGTGATTTCGCTGACATTTTGTTGACAGCAGCTGCTGCATACCGGTAGTATCTGAAGAATCGAGTGTGAAAAAAGCGAGAAATTTATTCAAAGCGACCCCTCAAATACCTACTACACCCGTCTATACTGTGACACTTCAGTTTTCGTCAAATGACAAGTGCCGCAAGTCGAAGTATTGGTATTGGGAGTGTAGCGGGCTCCACCACGTCATGGAAAGAGCACGTTCTGGACGATATCCCCGTAGCGGCTGAAGACGTGGGCGATGCCGTCACGTGTCTGCTGCACACTGTTCTGTTTACAAGAGCCCCAGGGCCTGTCCGTCCCAGCGAAGCCACGTGTCAGGCTTTTCCGAGCATCACGTACGCTCTGTGCGCAGTGGGAGACGTGAGTCGGAAAGTCGACCACGCGGTGCGCAGCTTGGAGGAGTCGGTGGTACTAGGAGGGAGTCTGGTCGCCGCCAGGTGTAGCAGTAACTCCATCGGAAATACCGGTAGCGCTTTTATGACCCCGTATGGACAACCGTTTCTGAACCCAGCCGGTGTCAGCAGCGACGTCCGAGGTGCTACCAGTGGCTACATTGTTGTGACCTTTTTCGAGCGGAAAGTAAAGAAAGCGCTGTTTGGACTCATGTCGAACGAGGAGAAGGCGGTGTTTGAGAAGTGGATCATGCCAGTGACGGTCACGTCGTCACCGGCTGCGTCGCGAGGTGAGGCAATCGCATGCGATTTGTTGAGATGGAAATAAATTGGAACGTTATTGACTTTTTGGCTGAATGTGTAGAGGAGAAAGAGTTATGTGCGGGCGAGACAGAAGCAGCGCTACAAGGTGCTCTGATGCATATTCTGACGGCGGTGCAGAGTATCGAGCACATTCCGAAGGCGATGTACGACTTTGATATCACGACGTGTAGTACCTTGGACGCAGCGCAAGATGGCAGAGGCTATGGCGAAAGGTCGGGAAGTACTAGCGTGCGCGTTATGCCGTAGCTGAGGGATAGTATAGCGGCATTGTTGTAGTTTGGAATATGATTGGTGTTCCTCATTTATTGCACTATCCTCTGACCAAATGGTTTGTTTCCGACATAGCTGTCCCATTTGTGCTAAGTGATGCATGGACCGTACCGTCGTCGGAGTGCTGGGTTGTGTAAAAATGTGTGACCGTGCAGATTTAAAACAAAACAAAATAAAATACTCTCGACAACTCAAATTTCGATTGATGTCGCCGTCATTGGTATCCTTCCACTTGGACCTCGGGGGTCTGCTAACGTGTTTGGTCGATCAAAGATACTGATCATACCAGGTATGTTTTGAAATTGAATTTTGATCGTGATGCAAGGCTGTACAAAAGCTACGCGTCCTTTAGTCTTAGTGCTTAATCGCATTGCCCAATTTGACCATCTGCTCACAATATCTTGCGCGTTAGAATGCAGTTGAGGCAAGGAGAGGCTCATATCTTGTCATTTCTTTAAAAATTAATGCTTAATGACGCGCTAGCTTGTTCGCTTGATTTAGCTTCACCATCGTTCTTGCTCTACCTTTATATAGCCTGAAGTCAATGTCGTTTGTACCGATTTCAGCTTCTTCGTCAGCATAGCGTTTTTAATGTTACAGCTTCAAAAACGGTTTTGGGGATCGTCCACATGCCCGTGTTTGAGTCAACTCGCATTCGTTTAATCATTGGACCGACAGAAAATGTTTAATCGCACCGCCAACTGATAAACGTGGATCGATTCGCAAGCATAATTTTACATAAACGGAGTTAAATTGGCGTCGTTGAGTAGTTACACAGCGACGACTTTTTTGGAACATGGAATCACGCCAACTCTAAGTAAAATGACCTAATGTTTCAAGCCACGTGCAATCGAGAATGTTCTAGGACCAGTGCCTCCGTGGGGATAAAATTGCTGGATCGTTCTAGATGGACGCACATTGCTGGACAATACTTGAGAAGTGTCAGACTCCTAATGTCGACAAGTATGATTTGCTTATGGAAAAAATCAGGAAAAAAAAGTGAGGCGACTTTAAAGACTTCAAAGCAGTCGAACAGTGGCTCCTCATATACAAAGTTCGGCGTAGACGGACACGTTCAAGCGGCAGAAATGAACACTCGATGAGTATGGTAACACAACGATCCCAGCCTGCAGAACTTGCGCTAGCGCCGAGCACTGTATTGAGAAATCGAGACTTAATGAAGGAAGGTCTTTACGCGACAGCAGACTTTCATAAATGGATAAATACTGTGTCAGCCAGGGTCACCCCCTCTTGGCGTGCAAATTGTTAAGTGTACTGAAGGAGCTTCAGTGAAAAAAGTCTGTACATCAACAGTCGCACCATCTGCGATTGTCATCTTTTGCACGGATGACAAAGCGCTTGACGACATACTAGGGTTCAAAATGAAAAATAGCATGTTTTATAATAAATTAAGGTCGATACCCAAGATTGCCGACTAATTTATCGCCGAAATAATTTTCAACATCGTTAGAGCCGGGACTTTCGACAAAACATCGTTGTTTATTCATTGACTCAATTATTTGATTTTTTGTTGCGAATATAAGGCTCTACAGTCCTCACTTGGTTAGGCATAAGTTCAGTTGCCGAGAAAAATGTAAAATACTCAGGGTATATATCCCCCCATTGTAAATCAAAACCTAGTCGTTTGTCTACTTTTCGTAAAACTTTGTGATTCACAAGGTCACGCGACGCGTCAATGACATGTACGTACTGTCCAGAAGATAAATAAAGCTCTAGGGTACAGCTGACCACCATGTGAAAAATTTATCCGGAAAGGTGAAGCAAATTAAGAAGATGCCTATTGTAACGAGGCTAGAACAACCCGTACTTAGCTTACACTATCTCTAAAGCTTTGAGGAAGCCCTTAAGCCCAAGTCTTAGGTGTTTAGTGTAACGGGGTGAATCGTTACATAACAATTTATAAGAAATTGTTAATAGAATATAACTATAAGAGTTATATTCTCAGAATATTGTCATAAGGACAAATATTCTGTAGCACTTACGAGTAGTTCCTAATTGGTTGATATAGGCCATTATATCAACCAACGAAGACGCGCCACGACAGACGCACGCAATGAGTGGTGAGCAGATAACTGATTTACACATTTGTATTTAGACATAGTTAGATGAAGATAAATAGTGATTTAGTGCAGACATTAACTATTATAAATACAGTTCTACTTTTCACTCTAACCAAGTACTCGCTTCTTCTTACCGTCTTCCTCTGCACGTACCAGTTTACGTGAAGTTCCGAGGCACCGCCTTATTCTGTCATCAGAATAAGTAGCTTGTACTGTCACCAGTACAAGCTTCAGGGTGCCCCGTTACACCTGGTAGCACTTCGTAGTCCGTCCAAGGACCACGTTCACATCCAACATGAATATGTTGGATGATGAAGATGACCAAAGCTTTCACGCTACGCGTGACGGCTACTCCCATTTGAGCGATGTCGAATGGGATGCGGTTGAACGAATGGGTTCGACCATGGGCATCCATGCTGTTAGCGTCATGCTAGAGGCTCTCAATAGAGATGCCCAACATGCTACTATCGCCAAGTTCATTCAAAATGAACTTGACGCAGAACGCGAGAAAGTAGCCTTGCTTCACCAACAAGGTTCTCAACAAGCAGAGTTGTTGAGAGAACAGGGTGCTCAACAGTTTGAACTGTTGAGACAGCAGCAGGCTGCTGCTGGTGGGTCGATGCACTCGCGTCGACCCGAGACTTTGAAGATTGACATCTCCAAGTATAGGGGGTCGAAGAAGACTCCCTCTTGAGATGGTTCGTCGAAGTGGATGACGCCATAAGGGCGCGTCGCATCGACGACGGGGATATGCAAGTTGCATATGCCCAGTCAAATCTGGCAGGACGTGCCAAGACTTGGGCACTGGGGCTCAAGTTGCACGACCCATATGCGTTTGGGTCGTTGGAAGTCTTCAAGTCGCGGCTCAGACAAACGTTTGAACCGCCTAGAGCTGAGTTCAGGGCTCGAACCGAACTCTTGAAGCTCAAGCAGGGTAAGCGTGATGTGCACGCTTACGCTCAACATATACGACATCTCACGAGTTGTATAAGTTCCAATCCGGTTGATGAACACACGTTGGTTTCGGTGTTCATGCAGGGTCTTGCGGATGGTCCCGTCAAGACTCACCTGTTCCGGCTTGAACTAGATTCACTAGAACAAGCCATTTCCATTGCGGAGCAGGAAGACTTCAGTCTGAGACAGGCTCGCGCCAGCTCGACATCATATCGTCAACCGAGACGATATGACAGCGGAGGTCCAGAGCCGATGGAACTCTGTTATGTAGAGAGCGAGAAGGCTCGCTCTACAGGCTACAAGAAGTTGCAGAGATGCAACAGATGTCAAAAGACAGGACACTACGCTTACGAGTGTAGTGCCCCTCGTCCAGTGTCTCGCGACACTGGGCGTAGTGACCGTCCACCCATGAGATAGGGGCAGGGACGCGGGTCCGCTGTTGGTGCAAAGACGCAACAACGGGATGGACCGTCAAAAAACGGACAGGATCAGTAGGTGCGGAGCACCCTACTGGTCTAGCAACGTCAAGAGAATTTGTAGGCCTCTTGATGAAGGTTGCTCCCAACACACAAACGTTGTGCGTTGCTGCTCTAGGTAATGAGGTCTCACTCATTACCTTGAAACTCGAAGTGACGAATAAGTTGTCCCTTCGAGCTCTAGTCGATTGTGGGGCGTCCAACAATTTTGTGCGACGCCAATCGCTAGAAGATGGTCACTTTAAATTCAGTGAATGTGACACACCTCCTACGAGGATGACGGTACGTCTTGCGACAGGCGCATCCGTAACCGTCATGAAGCGTATAGTGAAGATCCACTATACGCTAGAAGATACCCAATATGACGATGACTTTATCGTATTGGATTTGGATGACAAATTTGTTGTCATCCTTGGAATACCGTGGCTCAGAAGGTACGAACCACGAGTAAACTGGCAACATCGAATAGTAACGATGCCTGTCGCTTGTTCATCAGATGGCCATCTGATGAACGTTTTGGAGCGTCCACAAGCGTGTGGATGTACTACGAGTGAGTGCGATGGCCTCACTTGTGGTACGGTCGTTAGTACGACTGCACAAAACCTTAGTGTAACAAACGGTTACACTTCGGAGCAAAGTTCCGGCGGCTGTGAGGAAACACAGGCTGCGCCGAAGGTCCACCACTCGAATAAGTCGAGTGGACTGGGACAAAGATGTATCCCTAGCGGGGAACATCTAGAAGAGAAACAATCGGTCGCTCAGGTTAAGCGAAACGATAATCCTAGATCGACTGGAGAGTCTTTCGTAGAGGATCTCGCTGTGGTTGCGCAACCCCAGCTAGAGGAAGTAAAGGGAATAAGTCCCAAGATTACAAATACGGCGGAAATAAGTTCCCCGAAACCCGCGGGAATAAGTCCCCGGGAAGACGAAGGAATAAGTCCTTCGAAGCCTGAGGGAATAAGTCCCCAGGAAATGACAGAGACATTGAATGTCATAGTCAATAACGGATCAAGTGTAGGCGCTTATACACTTGATCTGATTGCGCCTCCGAAGTTAACTTCGGAGATCACTCAGTTGCCAACGCTCGAACATAAAAGATTCTTGCGTGATCTGCGTAGTGGCAAAGTCAAGCAGATCTGCATACTCGTCGCTGACGACGAGTGTGTAACCGACATAAGGTCAGCAACAGTGTTCACTGAGAACGAGAGAGTTCTCAGTAGTTCATCTATGGACGAGAGTGTCCTAGATGAAAAGACACAGAATTGAGCGATATGACTCCCAATCATGGGAATCGCTCAAGAAAAATCCTCTCTATGAAGATTTGGTTGAATTCAAGGATGTATTCCCTGAAACTGTTCCGTGCGAATTACCGAAGGATAAAGGTATTTGACACGAGGTCGAGCTTAAACCAGGCTCGAAGTACTGTGTCATGAAGCAGTGGCCACTGCCTCGTGAACAAGTACTTGCGATCGACAAGTTCTTTGCCGATCGTTTAGCTGCGGGCCATGTGAGGGAATCAACTTCCCCACCTAGCTCTCCGACCTTCTGTGTGCGAAAAGCAACAGGAGGGTGGCCGATTGTGCATACATTTAATAAGTTGAATGCTGCAACGGTACCGGCTCAGACGCCAATACCAAGGAAGGACGTAATCATTGATGGTATGTCAAAGAGTACCATCTTTTCGTCAATGGATTTGATGGATGGCTTCTATCAAATCCTTATGCGAGAACGGGATATACCCTATACCGCAGTTAGCACGCCTAGCGGCATGCTCTGGGATGGCTAGTAATGCCACTAGGGCTTAGTAAAGCCCCTGCCACGTTCAACAGATATGTATTACATCTGTTGAGACCAGTGCGAGAATTCGCGCCGAGTTATTTCGATGACGTATTCATCCATAGTCGGGCTATGATAGGAAAGTCGGATGTTGAGGTTCACAGGTACCACTTCCGACAGGTTCTTACAATCATGCGAAAGCATCAATTGTATGCAAACCTCAAGAAGTGTATATTTGCCGCAAGCGAAATACCACTTCTTGGGTGCATCGTTGGTAAGAACGGTGTACGTACTGATCCCGAAAAGATCAAGGCGATCACCGACTGGCCTGTGCCGGTTGATGTCAAAGGTCTTCGAAAATTCCTTGGGCTAGCGGCGTATTTGCATAAGTATTCACGCAATTACGCCGAGATGACTGTGCACCTCTCTCGTTTGTTGAAAAAGAACGAGAGGTGGTTATGGAACGCTGAATGTCAACGCTCCTTTGAGGGTATCAAGCAGAGCTTGATACAATCCCCAGTCCTAGCAATAGCCGATCAGGACAGGCCATTTCATGTGGTCTGTGATGCCAGCGATTTCGCAATCGGCTGTGCATTAATGCAGTACGATCTTGAAGGCGTTGAACGCGTCGTCTGCTATCAGTCGCGTCAGCTGCAACCAGCTGAGCGGAACTATCCAGTGCATGACAAGGAACTCCTTGCCATGAAGTATGCACTCGAGAAGTTCAGAGTCTATCTATTAGGAGATAGACCCTTCGTTGTTTACACTGACCATGCGTCATTACGCACGGCAGTGAACAGCCCGCACCTTTCACAACGAATGGCGCGGTGGTTGTCATTCTTTGCGGAATACAACTTTACGGTCGAGTACAAACCAGGACGACTTAATGTCGTCGCTGATGCACTCTCACGTCCTCCCGACTTTGAAACAGTCGCGAAACCCAACAGTGAGACAGTCACTGTTGCGGTTATGACGTCCTCAGTCCCATCTACAACGTTGTATGATGATGTGAGGCGGGCATACGCCCAAGATGGTGAGATTGTGAAGTTGTTGACACGTCTCTCCCAACCATCTCGAGAATCGTTGAAACGATTGTCGCCTGCGTATCGATCTGCATCAGATCGATACACTACTCGTAACGGTTTACTGTACTATACAGCCGTTTCTGGTGACACACCACGTGTTGTCATTCCAGATGATACTGATCTGCGTTTGCGGATCATGTTCGAGTATCACGATGCTCCTGTAGAAGGACATCGTGGCCGAGAGATAACATATCTCACGGTGAGTCGAGGCTTTAACGGGCCCCGCCAGTATCAGTTTGTGCGCAAGTACATTCGCGCATGCGAAGTCTGTCAGCGAGTGAAGTCAAGTCCTTCACTGCGTGCACGTTTACAGCCTCTACCGGTTCCGGCTGAGTGCTGGGAATCCATCTCAATGGATTTCGTCTTCGGGTTACCCAAAGACGCACGTGGGAATACGGGTATTCTCGTATTTGTTGACAGATTCAGCAAAATGGTACACCTTGTGGCTGTACCAGAGACAATCACGGTAAGTGGCTGTGCTTGTGTCTTTATTGACACCATCTTCCGACTTCATGGGTTGCCCCATGAACTCGTATCAGACAGAGATCCACGATTCACTGCTGATTTCTGGCGTTCCGTGTTCAAATCACTCGGAACGCGCTTGAAGATGTCAACATCTGATCATCCAGAGACAGATGGTCAGACGGAACGTGCCAATCGCGTCCTCGAAGAGATACTTCGAGGATACGTACACTCCTTTAAGAGTTGGAGTGAGTTTTTGCCAATGGTAGAGTTTGCCATTAACAACTCGGTGCATGCGTCCACGACCCATACACCGTTTTACGTGAATGGCTTGCGCCATCCGCGTGTACCCACATTACTAGAGTGTAACTCTGGTTTAAGGGGGGGAGGGACTCGCGCGAGCAAAAACCGAATTGGTTCACGCTCATCACGCTCTGACGAAGAGGTCATTGCGTTTGATGCCGATATCGATAACATCGATATCGAAGATGATGATGCCAGTGAGAGTGCGGAAGCCCTCACTGAAGAAAAAATTGATGTTGCTGCAGTGCACTCACAGCGCACTGAAGCTAACGAGTCATCAGATGAGTTCATACTGGCTCGTGAAACAATAGTCCGTTTTGTGTAAGACTCCATCGCCGAAGCGGTGGATAAGCAAAAGCAAAACGCTGACAAGAATGGAAGGGCAAACACTCTTTTATTTAATAAAGGTGACTTAGTCCTACTGTCTACGGTTAACCTACTAAAGCATGTAGTGACTAACTTGGGTAGCAGTAAACTACTACCCAAGTACATTGGCCCATTTCGTGTTTTGCATCGCCTAGGCAATGCATACACGATCGAGTTACCACGTAAGATGCGAACGCATCCCACGTTTTACGTTGGTCGGCTTAAGCCGTACCATCAGTACGCTGCTTCTTCCGATGAAGAACGCCCTTGCGCTCAAGCATCTCGCAGAGAGCCTTGTGCTCCCGATGGTGGGCATCAACAAGGGTCTGAAGAGCAGCTATCTCATCCCGAGACCGATCAGCAATCCCACGAGCTACCCTTAGCTCGTCACGAAGAGATGTAAGAGATCTCTCGTTCTCGAGCTGAGCAAAGGCAAACTCAGCTCGATGCTTCAAGGCAGTGTCCGCCATTTGGAGACGCCTATTCCGCTCATGTTCGAGATCGTCGCGAAACCCTTGCGTTACGCGATCAAAGAAGCTCACGGGAACACACAGATCCCCACGATCATGTGGAGAGCGTTTTCCCCCCTCCTCCACCTCCATTAGAGGACTCTCGCAGTGGCCAGCTCCATCTAGTTGAGCAGCTGTTGAACCACCGCGACGTGAACGGACGTCGGACGAGTTATCTCGTCTGGTGGCGCGGCTATCCCCCGTCCTGATATACTTGGGAGCTCCGCTCCCAACTGATGGTTGACGTACTGGGTCTGGTTGAGCAGTACGACGCGGCACATCCTGTGCCGCAGAAGGACCGCCGGAGAAAGTCTTCCCGGCACGGTCGTAAAGGGATTTCAAGTTGTCAATCCCTTCGTACATCTCAGTAGAGATGCGTACGCGCCACCACGGGCTGGTAGGGAGGTAAGCCTCCTTAGGTGCTCGTGCAGAGTTGTTCACACAACATGGGCACGAGTCTCCCCAAGAGAGGCAGGGTAATCCTTTTCCCTTGACAGACGATGCAGCTTGTAGCGTGCACCTGTAGGGGTTCACTTTTCAAACTTATCACGAGCTTTGATAAGTTTGTCGTTCCAAGCGTCACGACCTAGATCATCGAGGTTATGGATGTAGGCGTTCCACGCTTGAAGCAGTGAGGGACCATCACGTTTGTGATTCCCACTGTACCATCGATGTCTAAAGAAAGCATCGATGATGAATTCATTCTCAGCGCGATAGTTTTTCGCACTGGGGTCAAGGTGATGGATCCTTGACGAATCGAACAATCGTGTTCGATAACGATCACTCGTCGTCGCCGACAAGTGATCCATGACGGATTTAGGAGGCATCCATGCCTTCTTTTCTGGAGCGAGACGCAAGACATTGCGGTCCCGCTCTTCCTGCGATGTGCCGACAGAAGTACTGGCACCTCGTTGCGAAGTGGGGGTCCATAGGAGAACCGACACCACTGTTAGCGCCCGAGTCTTGCGACCTCGAGCGCCTTCGCTTCGGCGATGGTTCATCTGATTCATCAGATGAACCAAAGATGCTGCGACGCAAAGCATCGTCCATGCATGACGCTTGGCAGGCGGCTTAGATTCAATCGCCGTCGATACGGATCCGTCATCCGTATCAGGAGAGCATGAGACACCGAGCTCATACTCTGTGAAGACATGAGTGTCTTCATGACGAGCGCCTGCATCACCAGGTGACACAGGCTGAGTCGCTTCAGCAACCGATGAGACATCAGTTGCTGCGGTTTCTGCTTCGGCGTCCGCACAGAGACGTGCGGACGCGCTCTCGGCGGCCTTGCTCGCGCATCGCATGGGCTTGTTAACCATGCGATGAGATGTTGGAAAGTGGATTCGGACCAACAAGTGCAAACCCTGTCCCAAATGATTTGGGACGAGTATCCATTTAGTCAATCAGTCACTAAAGTGACTGATGGTTAAGGGGGGTGATGTAACGGGGTGAATCGTTACATAACAATTTATAAGAAATTGTTAATAGAATATAACTATAAGAGTCATTTTCTCAGAATATTGTCATAAGGACAAATATTCTGCAGCACTTACGAGTAGTTCCTAATTGGTTGATATAGGCCATTATATCAACCAACGAAGACGCGCCACGACAGACGCACGCAATGAGTGGTGAGCAGATAGTTGATTTACATATTTGTATTTAGACATAGTTAGATGAAGATAAATAGTGATTTATTGCAGACATTAACTATTATAAATACAGTTCTACTTTTCACTCTAACCAAGTACTCGCTTCTTCTTACCGTCTTCCTCTGCACGTACCAGTGTACGTGAAGTTCCGAGGCACCGCCTCATTCTGTCATCAGAATAAGTAGCTTGTACTGTCACCAGTACAAGCTTCAGGGTGCCCCGTTCCATTTAGTATTTTTAACTCTGTTTTTGTATTTTGTCTTTTAAACATCCTAAGTACGAATGGTTCCCTTGGACTCATGGGAACCACTCAATCTACGCGCCTATATCTTACTGGCTAATAATGGGACTGAGCCCATGAAACCAGCCAAAATATACGACGTGCTACTTTCGCTACCTCGAAAGTAGCACCCCTACTACAGTAACATGTAAGCTTGATTGAAACTACGTAACGGAGTGGCCCTTGTATCACCATCTTCATAAGAAAGCACTCACGAACCGTGAGCGCTCAACCACAAGAATCAACGGACGCACAAGCCAAACGATGGAAGACGCAAACTTCATCACCACAGCACTCCCGCGCAATGTCAGCGGGAGTTCAATCGACCACGTCATGGATCATAACCTGATCACTTGGGCGCTTTACGACTTGTCCGGAGCTCTAGCTCCAAACTCTCTTGAAACGATGCAGGATTACTCCCGGCGTTTCCGTGGATTATGCAAAAAGAGTCTTGATGGCATCTCGTACGAGTCGCTCCAGCGTTCTTTGTGCGCATTCATCCGGCGGTGAAACCGGATGCTTGAAGACGGAAGAAACTTTCAGCAGTGGCTTGCCAATCGTGAAGATAATCACGCCGATAATTCAATTGGTGTGCGGCGCGAGAAGGTATGCGAGAACGCGTGGAACGTAGACCGACTTTGCTACGTTCACGTGCACGAATCTTGTTACCCCTGTGACTCGATGCCTTATCCAACCCGCGAGACTTGGCAACGACACGCCGCTGAGTATCCACTCAGCGAAAATGAATAAATCTGATCCGACGGTATGAGCGCAGCTTGATGGAGCGTAAGATCGCGGTTCATCGTGGTGCGTTCAGCCAGCGACACCACTCGCGTTCTCGAGGACGTGGTGTCACACGCTCGCCACAATGTTCTCGTTCGCGTGGTCGTGGTGTTACACATTCACCACGACTTTCTCGTCGTCGCTCTTCATCTCGTCGTCGTGCTGACATTTCACCACGACGTTCTAGCCATCGCTCTCAGTCTCTTAGTCGTGGTGACGCTTCACCACGACACAGTAGTCGTTCGTCTTGTTCTCGCTCACCGCGAGAACACTCAGTTCGTCGAACAAATCTGAACAAAGCGTATGCACGGACTCGTATTCCCGAAGGACGTTTGGAACGTCTCGAAGAAGCGAAGAGCGCGGTTCCCACGTATCCTGCTCGGGTGGAAACCCGAGCCAACGTACACGATACTTGCGCGCGGATGGAGTCGCGACGATGTGGGTCGTTTCGTGACTCAATAAACGTTCCAAGAACCAGCGCTTCTGACATTTCTCGTCCACAAGCGGTGGTCGGCCCTCGCGATGGTAATGCTGGCATCCTGGTTGCCCAGGACGATGCTGATAAGACGGGGAACAAAGCTGTTGATGCATAGCATGAAGCAGAAGCTGCCCTTGATCGAGCTGCGCGAGCTGAGTGAACAGCGAGTGAGACTTCGACAATCGAACCGCGAGCTGCTCGAACGGATGCGAAACCTGAAACGCCAGGTTCTTGGAAACGCGCAGACTGGAACGCAGCCGCATCCGATGTCACTGGCGCGTCGAGCAAGGCGAGAGGGAAGGACGACCTATGAGCCCTTGTCTCCGAGGAAGGAGCCAACCCGTGACGCGTAGCTGGACGATACTCCTGATGCCGGCCGACGTAAAACGTCGGGTGAAGTCGCAGTGACGAAGAGATGTCCAGCATGTATCCGTCGCCGATCATCTTGAGTATTGTAAATGCTCCGATGAAACGTGGCGCAAGCTTGCTCGCGCCGAGATTGGTTACTGCTGAATCTCGTTGGCCTTCAGTAGAGAACAATACACGATCACTTATTCTGAAAGTACGCATGTTCTTTCCGCCACGTTTGTCTGCATTCGGTTTCTGTTTATCCTCTGCAGATCAAAGAGTATCCAGTAAAATCCTCGTGATGGCTTGACGTTGAATTATGACCTCTGACACAGCCACATCATCAATTGGTCGCGCCGATTAAATCGGCGCGTAGTTGGCTTGAGGTATTCGCATACCCGATAAATAGTCAATCAGTGTCTGTGCAGCCCATTGAGCTAGCGGGAGAGCCACGTCACGTGGCGTCAAAACAGAAGGCTTTACCTTGGATCGGGTGATGACATTCGCGCATAGAATACCGGGAGCTACAATCGATCGTTCTTTATCACTGTCGCCCCCCCCCGCCAGAGTGGAGCCACGAAGAGCCGTGGGTTATCCCACGGCAAGAAGAATAGGTACACGAGGATGACAAGCCGAATTTGCAAATAGGCGTCGACCTTGTTGACGCGTGAACCGCGTTGTTGAATGCAAACTCCGCGAGTGGTAAAAATGCACTTAAACTCGTAGAGGAAGATTAGTGACTTCGAAGAACATCTTCGAGAACCCTATTAACCCGCTCTGTTTGCCCATCCATTTCCATATGGGCTGCTGTCGACATTTGCAGCTTCGTGCCAAGCAACTCAAACAAGTAGACCGTGATGGCGAAATACAGTGTCAATGAAGTGCTCCGCCTTATCAGCCGCGGTGATCGTTGCATGAACAGGCACCAGATGTGTCATTTTGCTGAATCTATCCACAAAGACCAGAACACCCGTTCGGTCTTGGCCATCGGGTGCAAGCCCGAAGGTAAAGTCTATTGAAACTGAGCGCCAATCCTCAGGTGCAATTGACAAGGGTCGCAGGGGTGCCTGCGACAATGAAGATCGATTCACTCGTTGACATATTTCGCAGCAGCGAACCCAGTTGCGGACCCACCTGTACATGTGAGGCCAGAAGAAGTCACGTGAGACAGGCGCGAATGTCTTTTCGCGGCCAGGATGACCGCCATTTGAAGCATCATGGTACTCGTAAATGATACGAGCACGCAGATCCAAGTCAATCATTATCACCGTTCTAAGTACATCGAATTATCGATGCGGCATAGCAGTAAATCACCATTCATACTGTATCGTTGAATGTGTTCACGCTTCGTTCGCGCAAGAGCTCCCGGTGCACATCACTGGGAGCGCGCAGATAGGTAGTTATGTCCACGTAATCTGGATCCTTCGCGTAAGCAGCGACAATTCAATCGAAACTGCATTACTCGGTTGTGACCCGAGTTAAATTCAACGACACACACGTTACGCTTCGACCGTTTTTATCGCCATCGTCAGCTTCCTGACGACTCAGTGCCATAAGAGGATCGTAAATAGGACGACGTGACAGTGCGTCAGGAAGAAGGTTGGTCTTGCCTGACTTGTAGTGCACGACGAAGTTGTACTCGGAGAAAGAAGAGAGACACCGTGCCATCCGTTGTGACAGGTGTGGGCTCTTTATCGCTGTACGCAGCGATGCATGATCAGTGCACAGGGCGAATGTGCGTTCGCCTAGTAGGTGAACATCAAACTTGATGAGTGCGTAGCACACAGCTAATATCTCCTTATCGTGGACTGAATAGAACTTTTTTCCGCCGGCTTCATCTGTCGTGATTGGAGCTCACGACTCGTTCACGGCTCTCATGATTAAACAACATGAGGGTGCAACCAAATGCAAAGTCACTTGCATCGCACACCACGTGAAACGGCTTGGTGTCGTTAGCGAGTACCAACACTGGCGCTGACGTCAGGCTCTTCTTTACTTCTTTAAAAGCTGCTTGATGTATGCGACGCCCTGACCACGTGGCGTATTTCTTCATAAGTGACGTCAGAGGCTGTATAGTACCGGCGTAATATTTTGTGTACTTACGCAAGTAATTAGATAGACCGAGCCATTGACGCAACTCCGTAGAATTCGTGGGTGTGGGCCAAGAACAGATAGACGACAACTTCTCTGGATCAGCTCGAACTCCCGATTTACTCACGTAGCAACCCAACACCGGAATCTCCGGTGCACAGAATACACATTTCTTCAAGTTCGGTATAGCTTGTTATCCCGCATGACTTGAAACACCTGCTTCAGGTGTTGAAGGTGAACTTGTACCTCGCTGAGGATACCCTCAGCGCGACCGTGGACAAAAATGTCATCGAAGTAGCCAGGAGCAAAGTCTCGAAGCGGTCTCAACACTTGAGACACCATGCGGTTGAAAGTGGCTGGTGCATTCTTCAATCCTTGTGGCATCACCAGCCACTCCCATAGCATCCCACCCGGAATACCTATTGAAGTGGTTGGTATGTCACTCTGTCACATCAAGATCTGGTCGAAGCCATTGGTCTAAACGATGGCGCTGAAGATGACTCTTCCTGATATGGAGTTCGGAACCATTTCTTTTCTGGGGATAGGCGTTTTGGCAGGAATAGTGGTTTAGTTTAGCTTGTTAAACGCATGCAATACACGACAGCCTGTCGTAGCCTTCTTCACGCAGAAGGTTGGACTCGAATGGGGTGAGACACTCTCACGCACATGACCGTCCTTGCGACGACCTTCAAAGAATGCTAAAATAGGCTCGACTTGGTCTCGAGGCAACGGCCACTGCCGTGTCACACAATATTTCGATCCTGGCACGAGATCAACCTCGTGCCAAACACCACCATCAGCTGAAAGTTCAGCCAAAATCTTGTCCGGAATATGTCTGAGTACTCTCGAGCAATGTTGTACAAAGGGTTACCAGAATTGCGCAGAGCCTCCCAATATTGCGACGCAATTCTTTCTTCGCGCACCGACTTTTGTTTAGCGCTACGAGGACGCTTCATTCGCTCCTCATTCGGCTCATAGTGACCTCGTTGGTGACCGGACATACTTGTTCCACCTTGCCTCCCTTAAGGTCGCGTAGAAAAAAAAGAAAATGCTTCCAGGAGAGTCCTGAAAGGATCGTAATCGAACGACGCGTCGCGAGGTGGACTCGCGACCTCAATGTATTGGCACCTTGATGGACTCCCGTCCACGTACACAATAGTGTGGACACATTCCAACGATGAGTTCTTGTAGCCTGCGTCTCCATCGTGCTTCGAGTCCATGCTCGAAGCTGGCGAACCGCAGTCAGATGTTAAATCTGCACTACCCTTTAGACGTTGGATGTTCTCATCCGGGAAGTCGAAATCGCGCGAACAAAATAGCCCATACTCGTCTGTCGACGCATAATGCGGGAGCCCCTGATCGACCGCCACAACTCGTGTGGGAACCTGTGCTCGACCACGTCTTGCTTATGTGGGAACCTCCTTTCGACCACAGTGGGTGATGATGGGAACCCCTGCTCAACCATCATGTTCGCACGTGGGAACTCCTGTCCATCCACGTCACACTCGGTGGCGAGCCCCTGCTAGGCCACATCTTGCCCTTGAAGGAGCCTCTGCTCGACCACAATGGGTGCAGGTGGGAACACCTGTTTGACAACTTCTCTCTAGTGCGGAACCTCTGTTCGACCGCTTCTTTTGAGCGTGGAAACCTCTGTTCGACCGCGTCGTCTTCGTGCGGGAGCCACTACTCGTCCGCGTCGTCATTACGCGGGAGCCACTGCTTGTCCACGTCGTACTCCTTGCTTCGAAGCGAGGAGGCATCGTCAGTCGTGCGTAGGAGAACGGAACAAGCGGTACAGAGAGGGGCGTCGCTCACTCTGTGCACCGCCGGGATTGTGGTCGTACGATCCACGACTGTAACGTTCGGTGCATCTCTTAAGGACACCAAGAGATGAGTGAAAACTTCGCTGACGTCGAACTTACTTCGAAGTCTCACTGATCTGGCTAGCCAGTCGATCTGAGGTTTATAGCGTGCCAACCATGGCATGTCTAGGATGCAATCGAATGCATATTTCCTCTCAATCACCAAGAAATTGTCGTTACTGCGAAAGCCGTCAAACTTGTATGGCAAAGCACTTCGTGCCGCGATACGCAGCGTGGCATCCCGTCAGCGAGCTTGACAACAACTTGGCCAGGTCCCTCGTGGACCTGGATGCTGGGTGGCAGCGTTATCATGAAAGATCACGGCAGAAATTGTTTGTCGCTCCTGAATCCAGGAGCGCTCGTAGAGGTCGCCGGATACCGGCGATATGCAGCTTAACAATGATCAGGCGTGAATCACCAATCGTAGTGGTGGCATTTGACTGTGCACGCAGCACAGATGAACTAGGAGGTCGGACTGCCACCGGTGGACCCGGACCTCCCTTCAAACCAGTAGGGCGCCCTGCAACTACTGGTCTCGTCCATTTTTTGGACAAGTGAACGAAGCACCTCCCTCATAATAAGTTTCCGTCGCATGCACCGACATCGGCGCTGGCGAGCGGCATCAAGCCACGCGATGTCCCGACTTTCGACATCGAAAGCAAATCATCTGACGTCCTATACGTACGTCTCCATTGTAGGACGTAACACGTCGTCGGTTGCTTGACGACTCAATTAAATCAATTTCTATTGGTTCCGGGCCCGCTGATCTAACAGCAGTAACATCTGAAGGCTTGTTACAGGCCTTGGTGACTCTAAAGTCATCAAGGAGGGCGATAGTGAAAGCCTCGTCCAAAGTGGCAGGCTTTGCGCATTCCAGTGATAGGCGAGTCTGCCCTTCGCGCATGACATCGACAAACACGTTCACTTGTGTGTACATGTCCACGGGATGTGTAACAATACACGAGGCCAGATGTCGAGCCATCTGCACGTGGTCGCGCATGGACATCTTGACCTGTATCAAGAACAGGAACCTCGATTGCACCAACTTCTCTTTTTGTGGCGGCTCGAAGGCGAGTCGAATGTCACTCTGGATAGCTTCCCGATTGAGGAGCGCGTCCTTGTCCACTACGAGTTTACCCAAAGCATACTCCTAGGCTTTCTTACTGAGACGAAAAAGGAGGAAGTTGACCTTCGCTTGAAAAGCCTCGATAAGTATCGAGGCGATAGCGATGTCAGCCTCATAATACAACGCGACAGTGAAAAGCGTTCTTTGCCTTTGCCAGATTAGACGGAGGTCTCCATCTTCACGGCATCGTTCCGTAAAAGTCGCGAGGGAATTAAACCTCGCCGATCTGATTCGGCGAGCTCGCGGGCCACGAAAGCGTGCATGGCAAGCCACTGTCCATCTGTAGTCGCTAATTTAAACAGCGACACAAGTAATGCCTCTCCAGATATCGCCGCGAGTCGATTTAGGGCATCCCACTCAACACCAGTGAGATGGGGAAAAGTCGCGTGCTCCAAACTCACGTCTGGAGCGTTACAGTGCGACGAATCACTCATCCCTAACTCGGGCATGGGAAGGACGGCTAAGTGCTACCAGGTGTAACGGGGCTAGAACAACCCGTACTTAGCTTACACTATCTCTAAAGCTTTGAGGAAGCCCTTAAGCCCAAGTCTTAGGTGTTTAGTATTTTTTAACTTTGTTTTTGTATACTGTCTTTTAAACATCCTAAGTACGAATGGTTACCTTGGACTCATGGGAACCACTCAATCTACGTGCCTATACCTTACTGGCTAATAATGGGACTGAGACCATGAAACCAGCCAAAATATACGACGTGCTACTTTCGCTACCTCGAAAGTAGCACCCCTACTACAGTAACACGTAAGCTTAATTGACACTACTTATGTAACGGGGTGCCCACTACACCTATGATCTCCGAAAGGTGGATGCAGAAAAAACAAGCCCTCAAGAAACAGCAATGCCAGCTATATCACAAAGGTAAACTATAGCGGCAGTCCAACGCTGTGCAATAGAAGGTCATTTTGCGCCATTTAAAGTCTAATAATTGTGCTGGTCCATAGTTGTAACGGGCACCCTTTGTCCGGGTGCCACGAACCTTTACGTACACTCGTACGTGCAGAGGAAGCTAATCTACTTGAACGACTTGGGCAAGCAAAGGTAATAAGAGAACTGTATCTAATATAGCTAAGCTATCAATATAGCTTTACCTTTATCTAACTAAATTAACCTACATTGTCGAATGACGACAACCTGCTCACCACCCTTTTCGCGCGTCTAGCAGCGATTGGTGGCGATCTATGGTTGATATGTCTTATATCGACCAATCTTTGAGCAGCGCATAAATATTATCTAAAGGGGATAGTATCCTTTCAATTTTATCCAGCTCGGATAGTATTGTTAGAATCTTGTCATGCTAGACAATATTCCTATTGACACCGTTTGGTGTCAATATTATGTTACGAGATACCCCATTACATCACCCCCCTAGACCATCAATCACCCCGTAATTGAATAGAAAAGATTGGAACAGGGTGACCACCTTGGATCACTTTGGGAAAAAGAGCACTTGTTGGTCATATTCCATTTATTTGCCAATCCAACGCATGGTTTCGAAAACCAAGCGAGTTGCTACTGTAGCAGCAAGAAAGGCGGCAGCACGCATGAGTGCAGCCGGAGAGAGTACTTCTTACACCTCAGCATCAGATAATTCATCGCCTGCTACTGTGGAAAGTTCACGTGGTTAGTCACCACGTGCGGCAGGTACATCCGCTGCGTCTGCAGCAAGTACCGCGAATCGTAATCCAGATGAGCCTGAGATAGAGCTCGTCTTTTCTGGCGAGTCGGATGATGCATCCAACTCGAAGGCGACACCTCACGCCTCCGGATCACCCGGGGCGGAAACTGCAAGATCCAGTCAACCTGGAAACGTGGTGGCATCATGTCGGAGACCTTCGGACCGAGCGATTTGTCTGCCGAATCCTCGCCTCACGCAAGTCCATCCAACGATAGGCCGCGTGGCGATGTTGGCGATGCGCCCATGGATCACCACGAAAGAAGTAACTCGGGAGATCGAACTGCCACTGGTGTCAGTGCTCGTGCTGACACCACTCAAGAGGTCAGGGGCCTAAATTTTCTGCGCCACGCTCCTCAAACAGAGTCTCCTCTGTTTTCATCATCCAAGGAGTTTAAACGATTGAACGGTATGACCACCGAACGGGATCGAATCCCGATTTATGACTATAGTTGGATCTGTACATCTAATTCCAGCTCGGAAACTATCCGTGCTAAGGAAGAGTTCTTCACCGGATCATTTTTTAAACATCAATGGTACAATGGCAGCCGTGTTCGAGACGGCAAAGCCTTGGTGCAGGGATAAATGCCCTCATCCACAATATCGAGTGCATTGACCGTGAGGTCTGGCTCAGTAAAACTGATGCAGCTCGCATCAGGTTCGAGAAACGCAACCCAGACAGGGCGCAATCATATTGCACCGGCCGTCAAGAGAGGCAGGATTACCCTGTCTCTCGTGGGGTGATTCGTGTCCAGGTTGCCTGGACAACTCGAATCGTGCCTCTAGGGAGGCCTCCCTCCATAATGATCATTACTAGAGAGAGCGCATCTCTTCCGAGATGGACGAAGGGATTGACACTTTGAGCTCCCGTGACTCGCGTTCGGTGATATCGATTTTCAACAGCCCTGCTTAACGCAGTGGGTTGGTCTCGTCACACGTTTTGACGAGAACCATAAAATCAACAATCAGCTGGGCACGAGGCTCCCATCTGTCCCACGCCGGTGAATAGCCACGCCAGCGGACGAGGTAAATCGTCCGGACACCATTCACGTCGCGGTGGCTCAAAATACGCTCCAACAGAAAGCGTTGACCACCGCCAGAATCCACCATAGTATGTGGTGGCGGCGGGAACACCTGATTTGGCTCGAGGGTCGGATCAGCTTTATGTGCAGGAACCGAACCGTGTAATCGATCAGTTTCACGATGATCTGGCTCATGAACGTACTCGGCGTTATTCGCTTCATGACCTTGTACAGGGTAATTACAATTCCTTAGCGCATGATCGCTTGAACGATCGTGCCGCGTTTGCGTTCGCGCAGCTCGATAACGAACGTTTATTTCATTCTCTTCGTGACGAGCTGACTGCAACTCTTCAGGACACTGCTCGACTGCGTGAGCAGGTCGCTTCGCTAGTCGGCTAGACTGGCTCATTGAAACGGGACCACTCGAAGGTGGTCTTGGCCCTTGAACGCGGAGGTGTTCTTCGCCACACGAAACGGGCTCGTACTGATATTACGGGCGGAGACGTCCAACGTAAAACATGGGATGCGTACGCAATCTAGGAGGCAGTTCAGTCGTGTATACGTTGCCTATGCAGCGCAATACACGAAACGGACCGATATGCTTAGGCAGTAGTTTACTGCTGCCCACGTTTGTCACTGCATGTGTTGGTAGATTTACTATTCAAAGTAAAACCAAGTCTCTTTTATTAAATGAAAGAACATTTGCTATTCCATGCTTGTCTGCATGTCGTTTCTGTTCATCTATTGCCGTCTGCAATAGAGTCTTTAACTAAGCGGACAACCGCTTCGCGAGTCAGCAGAAATTCCTCTACTGACCCATCCTTATTAACAGCACTGCGCTTCGTGTGCACTTCTGAAAGGACGTTGTCTTTACCGGTGAGGGCGTCATCGTCCTCCCTGTGGCAGTCATTGGTGATGCTGAATATACCAGCATCGTCTTCATATTCATCATCGATATCGATCGCATCGACATCGGCATCCATCACGTCGACATTATTGTCGACGGGTGAGGAGCAAGAACCAGATCGGTTTTTGTTCGGGCGAGTCCACCCCCTCTTGAACTAGAGTCACACTCTAAGAAGTCGGGTAAACGTGGATGACGTAGACCATTCACGAAGAACGGTACATGTGTTGTCGACGCATGCACCGAGCTATTGATGGCGATTTCCGCCATCGGCAAGAACTCACTCCAACTCGTAAACGAGTGGACATACCCTCGAAGTATCTCTTCGAAGACGCGGTTGACCCTTTCTGTCTGACCATCTGTTTCTGGATGGTCAGAAGTTGACATCGTCAAATGTGTTCCAACTGAACGGAACACGGATTGCCAGAACTCCGCTGTGAAGCGAAGGTCCCGATCAAACATGAGTTCTCGATTTAACCCGTGAAGTCGAAAGATTACATCGATGAAGACACGTGCACAGCCCTGAGCTGTGATTGACTCCGGTAGAGCAACAAAATGTACCATCTCGCTGAATTGATCAACAAACACAAGAATACCAGTACTGTTGTGAGCGTCTTTGGGAAATTCGAAGACGAAGTCCATCGATACGGACTGCCAGCACTCTGCTGGAATCGGTAGAGGCTGCAAGGGTGCACGGGAACAAGTCCTAGGCTTTACCCGTTGGCACGCTTCGCAAGTGCGAATGCATTTGCACACAAACTCATTCTGGCGGGGCCAGTAGAAGTCACGACTTTACGTGAGGTAACTATTTTCTCTACCGCGATGCCCACTTGTTGGGGCATCGTGACACTCAAACATGATGCGCAATCGCAAATCGTCATGAGTCGGAACGACGGCACGAGGTGTGTCGCCGTTGACCGCTGTATAATACAGTAGTTTATTACGAACCAAATACCGTTTGGTCTAAGAGCTGTGTTGAGACGCCAAGCTTTTCAAAGCTTGACTGCATGGATTGGCTACATAATCCATCAACCGCAGAAAAGACTCATCTTCTGCGTATGCTTTTCGCACGTCGTCGAGCAGAGTCGACGACGGTACACTCACACATAGCGCTTCTACAATGGGATCACCCCTACTGTTGGAATGAGCAATCGGCTCGAAATCGTGCCGAAGCGAAAAAGCATCGGCGGCAACATTAAGTCGTCCTGGTTTACACTCGACGGAGAAGTTGTACTCCGCGAAGAAATACAGCCACCTCGCCATTCGTCGCATGAGGTGTGGACTGTTTACGGCCGTGCGTAACGACGCATGGTCGGTATAAACGATGAAGGGCCTATCTCCTATGAGATGTACCCGAAACTTGGCCAGTGCATATTTCATGGCAAGGAGATCCTTTTCATGCACCGGTTAATTACGCTCAGCTGCTTGCAGCTAACGCTGTTGATAACAGACGACGATCTCAACGCCGTCTGAATCGTACTGCATCAACGCGCAGACGATCGCGAAATTGCTGGCTTCATAGACCACATGGAATGGTCCGTCCTGGTTCGCAATCACCTGTACTGGCAATTGCACCAAGCTTTTCTTGATGCCTCCTAACGAGATGTGGTCATGAAGTGCTGACACTCAGCACTCCATGACCACCTCTCGTTTTTCTTTAGCAGACGAGAGAGATGTACGGTCATTTCCGCGTCGTTGCGCGAGTACTTTTGCAAGTACGCCGCTAAGCCAATGAACTCTCGAAGTCTCTTGACGTCGACTCGCACAGGCCAATCGCTAACCGCCTTGATCTTGTCTGGATCAGTGCGTACACCGTGTTTACCCATGATGCAGCCAAGAAGTGGTATTTCGTTCGCTGCGAATATACACTTCTTGAGGTTCGCGAACAACTCATGCTCTGGCGTTAGTGTAAGAACCTTCCGGACGTGGATTTCTATGAACCTCCACGCTCGTTTATCCATCCATAGCCCGGCTATGGACGAAGACACCGTCAAAGTAACTCCGTGCGAATTCTCGCATCGATCGCAACAGATTCGTAACACATCTGTTTAACATTGCAGGGGCGTTACTTATCCTCTGCGGCATCATTAGCCACTCCCAGAGCATACCACTGGGGGTGCTCACTGCCGTGTACGGGATGTTCCGTTCACGCATGAGGATCTGATAGAATCCATTCATCAGATCCATGGATGAAAAGACGGTATTTTTTGCCGTACCATCTATGATTACGTCGTTTCTTGGGATCGGCGTTTGAGCCGGTACCGTTGCAGCGTTCAATTTGTTGAACGCGTACACTATACGCCACCTCCTGTGGCCTTTCGCACACAGAAGGTCGAAGAGCTGTGTGGGGGTGTTGATTCCCTCACATGGCCATCCGCTAAGCGATCGGTAAAGTATTTGTCGATCGCTGTGACCTGTTCACGAGGCAGTGGCCACTGCTTCATGACACAGTACTTCGAACCGGGTTTCTGTTCGATCTCATGCCGAGTGCCCAGTTCCTTAAACAGCTCGCATGGCACGCATTTGGGGAAAACATCCCTGAATTTAATTGAATCCTTGTACAAAGGATTTGTCTTCAAAGACTCCCAAGATTGAGACGTGTATCGCTCAATCCGGGTCTTCTAATCGAGGACACTCTCATCCATCGATGAGCTACTGAGAAGCCATTCGTTCTCAGCAAAGACTTGTGCCGACAGAATGTCAGCGACGTACTTGTCCTTTGTGACGAGTACGCAGATCTGCTTGATCTTGTCACAACGCAAAAATCGGAGAAATCTTCAGATTCTAGCGTTGCAGCTTGACCACCTCCGAAGCTGACTTCGGGGGTGTAACCAGATCAAGTGTATAAGCGCCTACACTTGATCCGTCATTCACCAATACATTCACTGTCTCGGTGATTTCCTAGGGAAGCACATCCGCAGGTGGTTGGGGATCCACACCCTCAACATAACTCTCCCGAGAGTTATCACTCTCAGGAACGCTGGATTTTCTTCCATTTCGTGTATTATCATGGTCATGTCCTCTTCCATCGACTCTCTTTCAGTCAATTAAGCTTGCTCCACGATCGACTCTCTGTTAGTCGATCTTGCTCCAAAGTGTTGTTCATCCCAAGCAACACTAGTCTCTCTTCTTGGATGCACCCTTCTTGGCGTGCATCCGTGTTCCAGTCCACTCGATCTCTTCGAGTGGTGAACCTTCGGCGCAGCCTGTGTCTCAACACAGGTGCGGAAGCTGGTTCCACAGTGTAGCGGCCTTCTACACTGTGATCTTGTGCAGTCATACTAACGACCGTACCACAAGTGAGGCCATCTCATTCACTAGTAGTACACCCACACGCTTGTGGACGCTCCAAGACGTTCATCAGATGGTCATCTGATGAACAAACGGCATGATTCTTCACGGATCGATGCTGCCAGCTATGGCCATGGTTGGTATTTTTTGAGCCATGGCGGACCGAGGATGATATCAAATTTGTCATCCAAATCTAGTACGATAAAGTCATCATCGCACTGCTTTCGCTCTAGCGTGTAGTGGTTTCCTACTACACGTTTGTTCACTGTTACAAATGCGCCTGTAGCAAGGCACGCCGTCATCCTCGTTGGAGGCAACTCTCGCTCAACATAGTTGATCCTACTATCCCTTAGCGACTGACGTAGAATAAAACTGTTCGACGCCCCACAGTCAACTAGGGAGCGAAGTGAAATTCCACTTGTCACTTCGATCTTCAAAGTGATGAGAGACTACTCATCACTAGGGGCAGTAACACACAGTGACTGTGTATTGGGAGCAATCTTCGTCAAGAGTCCTGTAATTTTACTTGACGTTGCTTTATCAGCAGTGTTCTCCGCCCCTGCTGACCCTGATCATTTTTCTGGCGGTCTGACTTGCTGTCGCGGTTTAGCGACATGGTCGGACCCGCGCTTGGACCATTCCGCGGCCAACGGCGGTCATCACGTCCTGTCTTTGGACGTGATACGGTGCTTGGTACACTGCACTCATGAGCGAAGTGCCAAATCTTCTGATAGCGATGGCACCTTGCCAATCGCTTGTGACTTAGATAGCAAGGTTTCTCGCTCTCGATATAACAGAGGTCCATCGGTTCGGGACCTCCTGTTTCCTATCGTCTTGTCGGACGATAGTTAAAGGGTTATCCTGAGACTGTCTCAGGCTGAAGTCATCTTGTTCCGCATACGCTATCGACTTTTCTAGCGTACAGAAGTACTCACGGAACATTTAGGTCTTCACCGGCCCATCGACAAGACCGTATATGAACACGTTGATAAGCGTGTGATCATCAACAGGGTATTTTGTGACACCACTAGCAAGGTAGCGGACGTGCCATGCACAAGCTTGAACATTAATCTTACGTTGTTTGAGCACAGGAGTACAGAGTGTGCTCTGAACTTGGCTCTTGGCGGCTCAAACGTCTCTTTGAGCCGAGTCTTCAAGATCTCCAACGACTCAAAAACACGTTTGGGTCGTAAAGCTTGAGCCCTAAGACCCAAGGCTTTGCTAGTCTTGTCAAATCTTGACAGGGCGGAGGTGACTTGCATCTCGTCACCCTCGATGTGACGGGCCCTGATGGCATCGTCTAACTCGACGAACCATCTCAAAAGGGAACCTTCATGGGTTCCCTTGTACCTTGAGATATATATCTTCAAGGTTTCGCGTTGACGCATGTGCGTCGGCCCGTCCATCGACTCATGAGAGCCTTGTTGTTGTAGCAAGGCTATCTTCTGTCTTTCGACGGCAAGTTTCCCTCGTAGGAACTTGTTGATAGCAGCATGTTGCTGGTCTCTGCTTAAAAACTCCAACATGTCACTGATGGCGGGTTCGCCCATGAGTACACTCATGCGGCCGACTACCTCCCATTCTGAGTCACTCAGATGGGAGTAGCCTTCACGTGTGACGTGAAATCTGTCGTCTTCTACGTCCTACATGAACATGTTGGACGGACACGAAGTAGTCGTTGGACGGACTTCAAGTGCTACCAGATGTAACAGGGCACCCTTTGTGTGGGGTGTTTCGAAACTTCACATACACTAGTACGTGCAGAGGAAGCTAATCTACTCAAATTAGCGGTTTATGTAAAAGTCAAAAGAGAACTGTATGTAATATAGTTAAGCTATCAATATAACTTCAGTCTTAATGGAACTTTGTTAATCTGCATCGTCGTATGACGACAACCTGACCACCACTCATTACGCACGTCTGGCAGCGATCAGTTCTCCCCCTTGGTCGATGTGTCTCGATCAACCAATCTTTGAGCCGCACGCGAAAAAACTATCCTACAAGGGGATATCATTTCATCAATAAAATCGATTTCGGGTAATATTGGCAGGAGATTGTCACGCTAGACAATCTCCCTATTGACACCGTTTGGTGTCATTATCATGAAACAAGCTACCCCGTTACGAGCGATAAGTTGATCACTCTTTATGATCAACGATAAGAGATGCCTCGCAAGGCACGCGTCTTTGACGATATTAAATGGATCACTGAAATTTTTTTTTAAGTTTGACAGTATTAAAATATCTTTGTCCTGGAAGTACCTTATTTAGGCCATCATCCCCTGAATGTTTATTTTAAAGATCTTACAATTTTTGATGCTGACACCCATCAGCCCGTTTAAACCGATAAGATATTCTATAAGTGGGATACCATCCCGTGTGTCTAAGACACAGGGTACCAAGTACCCACGATGAGTAACTGTAACGGGGCACCCTGAAGCTTGTACTGGTGACAGTACAAGCTACTTATTCTGATGACAGAATAAGGCGGTGCCTCGTAACTTCACGTACACTGGTACGTGCAGAGGAAGACGGTAAGAAGAAGCGAGTACTTGGTTAGAGTGAAAAGTAGAACTGTATTTATAATAGTTAATGTCTGCAATAAATCACTATTTATCTTCATCTAACTATGTCTAAATTCAAATATGTAAATCAACTATCTGCTCACCACTCATTGCGTGCGTCTGTCGTGGCGCGTCTTCGTTGGTTGATATAATGGCCTATATCAACCAATTAGGAACTACTCGTAAGTGCTGCAGAATATTTGTCCTTATGACAATATTCTGAGAAAATGACTCTTATAGTTATATTCTATTAACAATTTCTTATAAATTGTTATGTAACGATTCACCCCGTTACATCACCCCCCTTAACCATCAGTCACTTTAGTGACTGATTGACTAAATGGATACTCGTCCCAAATCATTTGGGACAGGGTTTGCACTTGTTGGTCCGAATCCACTTTCCAACATCTCATCGCATGGTTAACAAGCCCATGCGATGCGCGAGCAAGGCCGCCGAGAGCGCGTCCGCACGTCTCTGTGCGGACGCCGAAGCAGAAACCGCAGCAACTGATGTCTCATCGGTTGCTGAAGCGACTCAGCCTGTGTCACCTGGTGATGCAGGCGCTCGTCATGAAGACACTCATGTCTTCACAGAGTATGAGCTCGGTGTCTCATGCTCTCCTGATACGGATGACGGATCCGTATCGACGGCGATTGAATCTAAGCCGCCTGCCAAGCGTCATGCATGGACGATGCTTTGCGTCGCAGCATCTTTGGTTCATCTGATGAATCAGATGAACCATCGCCGAAGCGAAGGCGCTCGAGGTCGCGAGACTCGGGCACTAACAGTGGTGTCGGTTCTCCTATTGACACCACTTTGCAACGAGGTGCCAGTACTTCTGTCGGCACATCGCAGGAAGAGCGGGACCGCAGTGTGTTGCGTCTAGCTCCTGGAATGAAGGCATGGATGCCTCCTAAATCTGTCATGGATCACTTGTCGGCGACGACGAGTGATCGTTATCGAACACGATTGTTCGATTCGTCAAGGATCCATCACCTTGACCCCAGTGCGAAAAACTATCGCGCTGAGAATGAATTCATCATCGATGCTTTCTTTAGACATCGATGGTATAGTGGGAATCACAAACGTGATGGTCCCTCACTGCTTCAAGCGTGGAACGCCTACATTCATAACCTCGATGATCTAGGTCGTGACGCTTGGAACGAAAAACTTATCAAAGCTCGTGATAAGTTTGAAAAGCGAACCCCAACAGGTTCACGCTACAAGCTGCATCGTCTGTCAAGGGAGAAAGGATTACCCTGCCTCTCTTGGGGAGACTCGTGCCCATGTTGTGTGAACAACTCTGCACGAGCACCTAAGGAGGCTTACCTCCTTACCAGCCCGTGGTGGCGCGTACGTATCTCTACTGAGATGTACGAAGGGATTGACAACTTGAAATCCCTTTACGACCGTGCCGGGAAGACTTTCTCCGGCGGTCCTTCTGCGGCACAGGATGTGCCGCGTCGTACTGCTCAACCAGACCCAGTACGTCAACTATCAGTTAGGAGCGGGGCTCCCAAGTATCCCAGGACGGGGGATAGCCGCGCCACCGGACGAGATAACTCGTCCAACGTCCGTTCACGTCGCGGTGGTTCAACAGCTGCTCAACTAGATAGCGCTGGCCACCGCGAGAGTCCTCTAATGGAGGTGGAGGAGGAGGAAAGACGCTCTTCACACGATCATGGCGATCCGTGTGTTCCCGTGAGCTTCTTTGATCGCGTAACGCAAGGGTTACGCGGCGATCTCGAACATGAGCGGGACAGGCGTCTCCAAATGGCGGAATCTGTCTCGAAGCATCGAGCTGAGTTTGCCTTTGCTCACCTTGAGAACGAGAGATCTCTGACATCTCTTCGTGACGAGCTAAGGGTAGCTCGTGGTATTGTTCATCGGTCTCGGGATGAGATAGCTGCTCTTCAGACCCTTGTTGATGCCCATCATCGGGAGCACAAGGCTCTCTGCGAGATGCTTGAGCGCAAGGGCGTTCTTCATCGGAAGAAGCAGCGTACTGATGGTACGGCTTAAGCCGACCAACGTAAAACGTGGGATGCGTTCGCATCTTACGTGGTAACTCGATCGTGTATGCATTGCCTAGGCGATGCAAAACACGAAATGGGCCAATGTACTTGGGTAGTAGTTTACTGCTACCCAAGTTAGTCACTACATGCTTTGGTAGATTAACCGTAGATAGTAGGACTAAGTCACCTTTATTAAATAAAAGAGTGTTTGCCCTTCCATTCTTGTCAGCGTTTTGCTTTTGCTTATCCACCGCTTCGGCGATGGAGTCTTGCACAAAACGGACTATTGTTTCACGAGCCAGTATGAACTCATCTGATGACTCGTTAGCTTCAGTGCGCTGTGAGCGCACTGCAGCAACATCAACCTTTTCTTCAGTGAGGGCTTCCGCACTCTCACTGGGATCATCTTCTTCAGTGAGGGCTTCCGCACTCTCACTGGGATCATCTTCTTCAGTGAGGGCTTCCGCACTCTCACTGGCATCATCTTCTTCAATATCGATGTTATCGATATCGGCATCAAACGCAATGACTTCTTCGTCAGAGCGTGATGAGCGTGAACCAAATCGGTTTTTGCTCGCGCGAGTCCCTCCCCCCTTAAACCAGAGTTACACTCTAGTAAGGTGGGTACACGCGGATGGCACAAGCCATTCACGTAAAACGGTGTATGTGTCGTGGACGCATGCACCGAGTTGTTGATGGCAAACTCTACCATTGGCAAAAACTCACTCCAACTCTTAAAGGAGTGTACGTATCCTCGAAGTATCTCTTCAAGGACACGATTGGCACGTTCCGTCTGACCATCTGACTCTGGATGATCAGATGTCGACATCTTCAAGCGCGTTCCGAGTGATTTGAACACGGAACGCCAGAAATCAGCAGTGAAGCGTGGATCTCTGTCTGATACGAGTTCACGGGGCAACCCATGAAGTCGGAAGATGGTGTCAATAAAGACACAAGCACAGCCACTTGCCGTGATTGTCTCTGGTACAGCCACAAGGTGTACCATTTTGCTGAATCTGTCAACAAATTCGAGAATACCCGTATTCCCGCGTGCGTCTTTGGGTAACCCGAAGATGAAATCCATTGATATGGATTCCCAGCACTCAGCCGGAACCGGTAGAGGATGTAAAGGTGCACGAAGTGAAGGACTTGACTTCACTCGTTGGCAGACTTCGCATGCGCGAACATGCTGTCGCATAAACTGATACTGGCGGGGCCCGTTAAAGCCTCGACTCACCGTGAGATATGTTTTCTCCCGGCCACGATGTCCTCCTATAGGAGCATCGTGATACTCGAACATGATCCGCAAACGCAGATCAGTATCATCTGGAATGACAACACGTGGTGTGTCACCAGAAACGGCTGTATAATACAGTAAACCGTTACGAGTAGTGTATCGATCTGATGCAGATCGATACGCAGGCGACAATCGTTTCAACGATTCTCGAGATGGTTGGGAGAGACGTGTCAACAACTTCACAATCTCACCATCTTGGGCGTATGCCCGCCTTACATCATCATACAACGTTGAAGATGGTATGGTGGACGTCATAAACGCAACAGTGACTGTCTCACTGTTGGGTTTCGCGACTGTTTCAAAGTCAAGACGACGTGAGAGTGCATCAGCGACGACATTAAGTCGTCCTGGTTTGTACTCGACCGTAAAGTTGTATTCCGCAAAGAATGACAACCACCGCGCCATTCGTTGTGAAAGGTGGTATCATGCGGAGGCGGTTACGGTTTGTGTGTGTGTGCGTGCGTGCGGTACGAAGAGAGATGGTGGTGAGTGGTTGTTGCGTAATGTTGTGTCGTGTTGTTGTAAAGGTTCCTTTTTTATGTGCACTCGTCGTTGTCGTCTAGTGGTTAGGATGTGATCTTCACACGCTCAAGATCGAGGGTTCGACCCCTCCTCCGATATTTGATTGCTTGCTGGACCATTCATCTGCGCTTTTCTGATTGTATGAGTTCAACTCTGGCCAGGTTCGATGGCTTCACTGGCGTTGACCACAGTGAGAAATCTTGAAATCTGTGTCCAAGGTAAACAAGGATCGCCGTCTTGTTCGCAAGCTGAGATTGATCTGGTTCATGCGTGAGACACCAATGGATGGTATGACAATGTCATCTTATGCGGAAGTTTACGTGCTATACGAGCAACGGTGAATGCGTGCGTTGGACGGCTGTAAGTAGCTCGGATGAGGTTTGTGTCATGTCCATCGTGACTAATCTGTTACTCGGCAGGTGTTGCTGCGGGGCAAAGTGGTGAGATATTGTAGGAAAGGACGTTTCAAGACAGCTTGGCCGAGCGGTTAAGGCGATAGACTCGAAATCTATTGGGGTAACCCGCGTGAGTTCAAGTCTCACAGCTGTCGTGTCATTGCCAGCAACGGTTGCCTCACAACGAGATCCATTCGGAGATTGCTTTGGACAGTAGCGCTTTGTTACAACATGAACGTCTTGACCCTGGTGACACATCTGTAAGATAGAGAGCCCATGGAGGCAGTGTAATGATGTGGTGTTGGCTTGTGACACCATCGTTTGTAGGCGACGGAAGAGCGTCTGAATGGATCAACCAACTGGTTCAGAGGGCCCAGAACCGCATGTGACGATTGTTGAAGCCTGTATGTGTAATCAAAGCGTGTAGAATTTGAAAAAGCGATTTAAGGATAAATGGGCTCTGGGGACAGCTTGGCCGAGTGGTTAAGGCGATAGACTAGAAATCTATTGGGGTAACCCGCGTGAGTTCAAATCTCACAGCTGTCGGACACATCTGGTCGTTCAGGGCGTGGACACACCACTCACAGACAGCCGACATCTGCGCTCGACACTCTGTCTTGCCTGCTAAGATCAGAGTGTTGAAGTGAGGTGTGTCTTGCTCATAGTACCGTCACTTGATATCCTTTCCGGCTATCCGTCTGTCTTCGGGCGCATAGTACCCTCACCAAAACCCCTTGGTTCCATCCGAGTAATCAGACCGGACGTGTATGACATCGACTGGGTGAAGTTCTGAAGCAAGGATTCAGTCATGGTGAACGGGTCAACGTGGCCACAGATACGCAATAACGTGAATGGAACAAAGCTCATCGTGTGTGTAGACGCGGGAAAGTTTGTACGTCGACCGACTCCATGTGGCAAAAGATCGATAGTCCAAGGCTACGAGATCTTTTGGATGGTTATCAGCGACCACTTTCAGGCCGCAATACAGTTGCTAGGAATAGAAGCGTGTGAAGCCGAGGTGTCTTAGATCTATCATGGCTTACATCTCAATACGACCATCAGGGCGGCTTTGGTGATGTGTGACAGTGGCTGGTATCATGCGGAGGCGGTTACGGTTTGTGTGTGTGCGTGCGTGCGGTACGAAGAGAGATGGTGGTGAGTGGTTGTTGCGTAATGTTGTGTCGTGTTGTTGTAAAGGTTCCTTTTTATGTGCACTCGTCGTTGTCGTCTAGTGGTTAGGATGTGATCTTCACACGCTCAAGATCGAGGGTTCGACCCCTCCTCCGATATTTGATTGCTTGCTGGACCATTCATCTGCGCTTTTCTGATTGTATGAGTTCAACTCTGGCCAGGTTCGATGGCTTCACTGGCGTTGACCACAGTGAGAAATCTTGAAACTCTGTGTCCAAGGTAAACAAGGATCGCCGTCTTGTTCGCAAGCTGAGATTGATCTGGTATGCGTGAGACACCAATGGATGGTATGACAATGTCATCTTATGCGGAAGTTTACGTGCTATACGAGCAACGGTGAATGCGTGCGTTGGACGGCTGTAAGTAGCTCGGATGAGGTTTGTGTCATGTCCATCGTGACTAATCTGTTACTCGGCAGGTGTTGCTGCGGGGCAAAGTGGTGAGATATTGTAGGAAAGGACGTTTCAAGACAGCTTGGCCGAGCGGTTAAGGCGATAGACTCGAAATCTATTGGGGTAACCCGCGTGAGTTCAAGTCTCACAGCTGTCGTGTCATTGCCAGCAACGGTTGCCTCACAACGAGATCCATTCGGAGATTGCTTTGGACAGTAGCGCTTTGTTACAACATGAACGTCTTGACCCTGGTGACACATCTGTAAGATAGAGAGCCCATGGAGGCAGTGTAATGATGTGGTGTTGGCTTGTGACACCATCGTTTGTAGGCGACGGAAGAGCGTCTGAATGGATCAACCAACTGGTTCAGAGGGCCCAGAACCGCATGTGACGATTGTTGAAGCCTGTATGTGTAATCAAAGCGTGTAGAATTTGAAAAAGCGATTTAAGGATAAATGGGCTCTGGGGACAGCTTGGCCGAGTGGTAAAGGCGATAGACTAGAAATCTATTGGGGTAACCCGCGTGAGTTCAAATCTCACAGCTGTAGGACACATCTGGTCGTTCAGGGCGTGGACACACCACTCACAGACAGCCGACATCTGCGCTCGACACTCTGTCTTGCCTGCTAAGATCAGAGTGTTGAAGTGAGGTGTGTCTTGCTCATAGTACCGTCACTTGATACTCTTTCCGGCTATCCGTCTGTCTTCGGGCGCATAGTACCCTCACCAAAACCCCTTGGTTCCATCCGAGTAATCAGACCAGACGTGTATGACATCGACTGGGTGAAGTTCTGAAGCAAGGATTCAGTCATGGTGAACGGGTCAACGTGGCCACAGATACGCAATAACGTGAATGGAACAAAGCTCATCGTGTGTGTAGACGCGGGAAAGTTTGTACATCGACCGACTCCATGTGGCAAAAGATCGATAGTCCAAGGCTACGAGATCTTTTGGATGGTTATCAGCGACCACTTTCAGGCCGCAGTATAGTTGCTAGGAATAGAAGCGTGTGAAGCCGAGGTGTCTTAGATCTATCATGGCTTACATCTCAATACGACCATCAGGGCGGCTTTGGTGATGTGTGACAGTGGCTGGTATCATGCGGAGGCGGTTACGGTTTGTGTGTGTGCGTGCGTGCGGTACGAAGAGAGCTGGTGGTGAGTGGTTGTTGCGTAATGTTGTGTCGTGTTGTTGTAAAGGTTCCTTTTTA